GGAGACGCTCAACAACGGCCTCTAGCAGTCCATCAATGCGATAGGGGCGTGCAATCTGCAGAAGCGAGCACAGGATCTGTGGGGTACAGAGAGGCGACGTCATGAGAGGCAAAGAGCTGGTGTATAAGAAATGCAGAAGCGCCTGTACTGTCAAGTAGGTGTGTGGGAGGTAAAGGCACCTAGGTCGGGTATTTGGAGGAAGTGAAAGCGGCGTAGGCGTCGCATTTGCTGTTCCCGCATGGACGTCCTCCCCATGGCTGCCTCCGCCGCCGCCAAGCGCCGAGCCGTCCGCACTAGAGACATCGACATTTGAGGGGGACAAGGTACTGCTAGTCGACGTTGACGTGGCAGTTCCCGCTCGGGATTGTGGCGTTATCGTAATGGCGGAGGCGCGGAGGGGATTTCCCGCGAGACCCGAACGAAGCGTCATACCATCAACGCCATCTTGTGAAGCGGCACCTTCTCTGAGCAGTTGGACAAAATACGGACCCCAGCGCCGGGCCACAATTCGAGAGCTGATTGGAATTCGCTCTCCACCAATGCAAAGAATATCCATGTCAGAAAGCTCCCTCATAGCCAGGGCTCTCTCCCCGAGCTCTTCACTCATTCGCGAGTGGAAGCGGCCACCCGCGGTGTAGCCTGCCTTTCTCGACAAACTCAAACCAGGACCAGAGTATGGACTGCTAGCAGAAATGAAACCGGACATGGGGCTTGTCTTGCGCGGGTTATCATAGAAGCCAAAGGCTTCAAGTTCAACCATGCACACATTCGTAAAGTTGATGCGACGATGATTGTAATCATCAACCAGACTTCGCTTCCTGTTTCCGAGGATAACAAAGGTGTTTCTTCTGTTCCATAGGACACCTCTGTTCCAGCTGCCTTGGCTGAAAACACTACCTCCGGCATCGATCCGGCTCCAGGTAAGAGTTCTCAGGTCTAAAGCCCACAAAGCATACTCCTGCTTCGAGGATGTGAGGTATGTGCCAGAAACAACAAAATGGGTATCCAAAACCCCACCATTGGGAAATCGAAGACCAGGTGGAGAGTACGTGCCAGACATGGGCTTCTCGCTGAGGGCACCATCGGGGGATCGAACTTGTAGCTCAAGCTTCACATCCAAGAAATTGTAGTTTGAATATATAAGCATGGATGAGCCAGCCTCGCGCGCTTCTTGGCTGATGCCATCTTGGCGTGATACACCAACTTGATGGGCTTTGCCAATCTTGGCCGATACCGAAGGTAAGAGGGGCGCAGCAACACTTCGGTAGGCACCGCAGCTTTTTCCCAAAGGTTGTGTAGAAACCCATTTCAGACTTCGGAGATTGAAGACGCTAATTTGCTCGATGTAGTGATTAGCTCCGTCTTGGCCACCCACAATGATCATCTGTGCGCCTCCGGAACCGTCAATATTGATGCCGATACGGCCCTCGTTGGGGTTTCCTGACGAAGGGTTGTGTTGAAGGGAGGAGAGTGGTGCTTTTGTGGAAGAAAAGGAAGCAGCTGAATGCAGGATGCATGCGCAATGAGCATACCGTCCTTGCGGGGCATCCGGTGTCGGAATGAACGTCCATTTTTTGGATGAGACGTCGTAAACATAGATGTCAGACATGACGCTGACCTCGGGTTGTTGCTGCTGCTCCTGGTTCGTAGGTTGGTTTGGTGATGGTGACATACCACCGTAACAGACCATTTTCGTATCTCCTAACGCACACATGGAGTGGAAGTATCGTGGCGGCGGAACCTCGCCGGCAGTCTCGAGCTTCGTCCAATGGCGTCGAATAAGATCGAGCTCGTAGATGTCGGAGGTAAGAGGCGCAGGTCTGGTACGAGAAAGGATCCTCCCACCGAAAACATATAATTTATCGCCGAGGATAGTCGTTGTCGCGCCGACTAGCGGTGGAGGCTCACGACCAGTGGTTCTATGTACATTGCACATGAGGCCCGAAAGATGGGCAGAAGAACTTTGCGACGGGCCGGCAACCGGTGGTCCTCTGCTTTGTGCAATTGCGGGAGAGGCAGTAGAAGAGCCCGGACCGTGGAGTCTGGACGAAAAGGCATCTCGAACATCAGTGTTCAGGCTAGTCAAGCTACCAGCGACATCCGGAACATGCTGGTCCTGGCCGTCGTACATGGTACTTGAATTAGCAGAGGTGTTGGGATCCATACTGCCTAGTCTCTGCTGCACTGGAGCTTTTGGAGGAAAGCTGAACGACGGGAGTGGCTCGGTGCGTGGTGCATTCGTTTGGGGAGCGGCGGATGGAGTGTCGGGCTCCAAATCGTCGGGCGTCTGCGGCAGAGGTTTCTCGAGGCTGTGCTGTAGGCTCAAATTTCTTGCATGCTGCCGCCTTTGCGGATGCGGTGAGCCGTCTTGCGCTGGATTGTGTCGGGACGGCGGTTGGTCGCTGAACTGGCTAAAAGTCGGGGTGGGAGGGTTTCTCAAATTTAGAAGAGAGCTCGACCGTGGCACCCGTGACGATGGTGGTTGTTGCACGCCGCGATATACGGAGCTCAAGCCACTCTGTTGGAGTCGGTCAACAGACGAGGATAGTTGCTCGCCGGGCTCGGGGCGGTTGTCGTCAGTCGGGCGCTGGAGAAAGGTCTGTGGAATGGTCAGCTTGCCTGGAGGCGGCATTGTGGGCAACCTCGTCGCCGCTGGGCGGATGCAAGAGCAGCAGAATTCGGAATGACTATATCATGGCACAATTGTGATGAAGCAGGAGGATTCAGCCGTACTGCGTCGGGGGCGGTGCAAGTGAAAGAAGAAGGAAGAAGAAGGAAGTTTGTATGTGGATGCCAACAGCGGGCTGGTGTGAGACCCAAACGACTAACGAGCAAGCGTGCCAGCGAGGTGTTGAGGGAAGAAGAAATGGATTCCAGGTCGCCGTGATGGGTCCAGGCACGAGACTGGGTCTACTTTTGGAGTAGAAATGGCGGGCGGCGCGGCTGCGGCGTGGATAATGCCAGGTCCGTGAGAATTAAAGCAGCGGGGTGGACGGGCCGGTCGAGTAGCCGACGACCAGGGATACGCGTGCTGATATGAAGCAGGGCAGGGTAAGGGTCAAGGCCAGTGACAAGGGGAGTCTGTAGACGAGGCCAGGAATATTGGTACGGGGTTTTGTGGAGGATTCGCGCAGTTGGCAATCGATGGGCAGTCGGTCAAAGGAAGGATGACGGACGGTGGTGATGGAGAGAAAGAAGCAAGCGACGCCTCAATGCACGTACCGTTCTGCGGTCACCGGCACAGCGGAGAGAAGAAATATTAGGTCCAGGAGAGTGGCGTCTTGTCGGGCAGCGACTGACACGAGTCGAAGTACGGATAGCGAAAAGACTGATCGCGCGTCTGGGGGTGGAAAAGGATGGGCGGCAAGCGTGTGGCCCTTTGCAGGAAGGATGTGTGTATGTCTGTAACAAAGGACCGTCGGTTGGCGGCGCGCTCGAACGGGCGATTTTGGCTTGCCACACAGACCGTGGGAGTAGCACACGTTTGAAGAGGGGCTGAAGCGCAGACCGGGCTGGTCTGTGGTGATTTTGGCCAATGTGAGAGCTCGGCTTGTGTTTTAGCCTGCCGACAGCAGCGTAGTCGTTGCGAGACGAGTGCTATGCTAGTTCGTGATCAACGGTCGACTGAGTCGGGGGGTGGCTGCATCACATTATCGCTCTAACTATATTTTAGTTAGACATTCTGTGACGGATCGCTTGTCGTGACGAACAGAAAGTGTCTCGTGTCGTCGTGAATATCGAGAGGGCCGGAATGCCCGCAGAAGCCCGTGCGGATTGTCAAGTCTGCGGTGTCGGTGGTGGGCAGTGTAGGCCGCTCACAAACGGGCAATGTGGTGCATAACGGCGGCGTTTGGCATGGACAGCCCAAGCGGTGGTCAACCGGGCATTATCGTAATGCAGTTTTGATTCATAATGTGCTGTTAATTATTAGCAATGGGAAACGGGATTTCAACATGTTTGATTTGCTAAGGAAGAAATTTTGTGTGTTTATGCGCTTGTTTGCGCCAGCACAGTTGGCAGCTGGCAGTTGGCAGCTGGCAGTAGCAGCTGGCGGACAGCACGAAACCTGTATACTCGTACAAACGAATCGCTCTTCTCGCATCCAAGTCTAAGTTTACACCTGATTCATTCTCCTAGTTATCTTTGTCCGAACTAGATAGTCCACGCTGCTTGGCGTCGCGCACCAAAACATCCGGCGGTAGAACCATTGTCGATGGCTGTGCAGCGGCCCCGGGCGTTGCACGGATGCAATACGACGCTGCCAAGATGCGGACTGACAACCAACCTATCCCCCTTCTCCGCCTGCATCCTGCCGTCCAAGCTCCTCGACTGTTTTCACTGCAAGTGAATTTATGGGATGATGGGTCCAGCCAAGGAGTCCAGAGACTGAAATGAGACTGCCGGGGATGCATCGCGCCTGGCCCGACGCAGGCCACCGCCGCTTATAAGTTAGGCACCCAGGCCCGCCCGCTGCACTTCAGCCAAAAGCAAAAGAAGAAGCCTCGAATCAATCAAATCGAGACAAAAAGGCGTCCGGCCCGATATGCCGTGGAGAAACAATACTAGTTATTGAGGAAGTCGGGACGCTGGGTGGACTTGAGCGGTCCAGATGCCTGCGTATAGTACTTGCAGTTATCAATGTTGACCTGACCACTCCACGTTATTACTCCATACATTGCCCTGCACTCTTACGGAGTAATAAACAGGTCAAAAGATATCATCTTGCCCTGGTGGCACGTGGAACCCTGGTCCAAGGCTGAAACCGAAGCGACGGGAAGGATTTTTGTCAAGTTGTGAAGGAACGGACGAATCTTGACAGGCAGGCTGAACTGACCGAGCTCTAGAATAGTTCTAGTCGTGGTTCGAGAACGGGCACTAGATCAAAGGTGCGCTTATTTCGCAGACCGCTATTCAGTGTACTTGAAGCGGCATTAACGAAAAAGCAAACTGGACCAGAAGCGAAACGAAGGGCCACGAAAATGCAGCATCCTACAATGGCATTGAAAAAGGGTTACAAGGTAAATGACACAGCCTTTTTTCCCCGCGCTAGATTTGCTTTTTATTCTCCGTGCTATCACTTTTTCTGTCGTAGGGCACTACTGCAATGTGTCCTGTGAGGTTGTAATAGCGTTGAATCAGACATGATCTGTGGGCACCCATCAAGTATTCGTTCGTCCGCCGCCTGCAACTCCCTAGGTGGTACGAACCGTCGCGACGAGCAAAATCCCTCCGCATAAATGGCACATATCAGTATTTGGCTGAAACGGTCAGGCATGCAGGAGTGTGGCGCGCGTCGCTATTTGCTTTGGTGCGTGAATCACTCTGCCGCGCACCGTCGATCATACTACCCTGCGACGACATACCCTAGGGTCAGCAGTTGACAGTACGCAAGATGAAGCCGTTTCATTTCCGAGTTTTCTGACTGTGGCTTGTACGATGAGAATCATGAACAAGAGACACGTCTGAGAAAATTGAAAGCTTTTTTTTTCATTCTTTTGGTAGAGTAGGTATTGGTCATTAGATTTCGCTATCATTCTACGACAGGGAAATGGCGACGTTGGAATGATCACCGCCAGTGATACAGGCCAGCGACCCTAGCTATGGCTTCGACTAGCCATTCCCGTCTTCAAATTATCATTCAGTTTACATTCTTTTTATCCCATTGCTCTTCTCCGAGGCCAGGCCGCCGGAGCATCCCGAACGCGGGGCTATTGACAACCCCCACAGCGGAACTCGGTAATGTCCCTCCGAGGAAGCTTTTTCAGGTTTGGCCGGGTTGAAGCCCAGTCACTTCTTTACGCCTTGGGGAGGCTGGTGAAGCGGAGGTAGGGCTTGACGATGCGGAAGCCGGGGAAGAGCTTCTCGGCCTCCTCGTTGGACACGGGGGGCGCGACAATGACGTCGTCACCGGGGACCCAGTTGATGGGGGTGGTGATGCGGTGCTTGTCGCCGGTCTGGAGGGAGTCGATGATGCGGAGAACCTCGGCGGCGTTGCGGCCGGTGGAGGCGGGGTAGGAGAGGATGGTGCGGATGGTCTTCTTGGGGTCGATGAAGAAGACGGAGCGGATGGTGAAGGCGATGCCCTTGGAGTCGACGTTGGTGGCGTCCTGGTGGTCGATCCTGTGAGATGGCGTGTTAGCAGGGGCGCGGCGATGAGAGTGGTGAGAAGTGAAAAATGAGGCCTGAGCTGGTACTGAGGCTTGGCTCTCTTCTCCGTGAACAGCTCTCCTCTAGTTCTCCCTTGGCGCCAGACAGGCTCAAATGGATAGTGGAGTAGAGACGTTGACAATCCCCACGATTTGCTTTTGAGACTGCGTGATTTCTCACAGCATTTGCAGCGGAATAAGGAGAAGAGGCCGAGAGTGACGAGCCCGCTCAATACGAGCCTCCACAGCTCGTCGCGGCTCCTCGCGGACAGTACTCGGCATGCCATCAACGGCCAATGGGTTTAAAGAAGTTTGCTTACATGTCGTAGGCGAGAGCGACCTGGCGCTGCTTGTCGCCAATGATGGGGAAGCCGACGTGGCCGCCGGTGACCTCGGCAATATCCTTGATCCAGCCGTCGTGCGACTCGATGGTGTTGGCCGAGAGGCCAATCAGCTTGACGCCGCGCTTGGTGAACTCGGGCTCGAGCTTGGCAAAGGCGCCGAGCTCGGTGGTGCAGACGGGGGTGTAGTCCTCGGGGTGCGAGAAGAGGACGACCCAGCTGTCGCCGATGAACTCGTGAAAGTCAATCTTGCCCTTGGTCGTGTCGGCCGTGAAGTTGGGGGCCTTGGAGCCGAGGCGGAGGGGAGCGGTGGTGGTGGCAGCCATGTTTGTGGTTGTTGAGGATGGGAAGGATCAAGTGAAGTTTGATGGGATCAAGATGGGGTGGTGGTGGTGGTGGTGTGCAGAGCAAAGGAAAAAAAAGGAGGAGGAGGAGGGCAAATCTTGATGAGGAGGGCGGCCCACGGCTACGCTTTATATACGGACTGGCAGAACTATTACTGTGGAAATTGCTCATTCAACTAGCTATACCTACGCAAACTGTGTCCCAAGCCGCAAAATGGAGGCGGATTGCGCATGGCGACATCCCACCAAGGTGTGCCGAGAGAGCCCGCCTCCAGGTCGTGGAGCTTGTCGAGAAAGAGTTGCTGCCCCTCCACCACCACCACCACTAAACCCCTCCCCCTCATCACTCTTGCTGGCGGGGTCGTACATACCAGTACATGAATTCTCATCTTCGAGGGGTAGTTGAGCTGGGTTGCTGGGCTAGCTTTTCTGGTAGCCCTCCCCGCCGAACAAGGCATGGCGCATCGATTGCGTGCCCGCGCCGCCGCCTCATTGGCCGTCCGCTTGCGATTCTGCCATCCCGCTGTCTCTGACGCAATAACGCGCTTCTGCGAGCTAGAGAAGCTTGGTCCCGGCTGGTCGGCGATGGCGGCTCCACCGATGGCCCGGAATCATGGCCCTGGAAGGGGGGGGGGGGGGGTATGACAAAACCTCGCCGAAGTTGCGGCAGTCGAGGCAAAAAGGGGTGCACGGGAGCTCGGTGCTGCATAATCATAGTTACAGCTCTATACGTGTTTACTTCACGGCAAAGCGAAGCGCTGCGTTTCGGGAGAGAGTTTATAGACTTTGCGGGGCTTGGCTGGGAACGGCTCACCGCGGTCCTGTTCCCGGATGTCGCTTCGGGCAGGTAGCCATTCTGAACCCTTTTTTTTTTTCGAGGCTGAAATCTGGCTCCTGTTCTGGAATAGAGACTGCGTGGCGGCATCGGCTCATTACATTACTGAAAGGGAGGGCCAGGTTTGAGACACGAAGACCGTGTTGCTGCCCGCCGAGGATCCGCATCCCACAGCCACGACGCATGCCCAGAAAATGGCGACATTTCTGGGATAACGGGATAACACCTCAACTAGTTAATTAGGCCATTGTCTCAAATCACCAAGAATACTCCTCAATGACAGCATACATTCGCGCCATTAAGCATTGCCATGCAGAGGTCGCAATCCGTCACCTCGCAGCTTTCACATCCTGGGTGCTGTAAGCCAGTGGTAGTGGTCAAGTAACGCCATCCTCTGACCAAACTCTTTTGAAGCGCGCTCAGAAATTAAACTTTTTTTTTTTCGGCTGGAAGCAAAAAAGAACCACCCCAAAATAAGAGGAACAAAAAAAAAGCAACCGCAAGGGCTGCTTTGGACTACAAAAAGAGCGACCACGCCAGGAGTCGAACCTGGAATCTCTAGAGAATTGGGATACGGTTGACCGAAATCTAGCGCCTTAGCCATTAGGCCACGCGGCCTAATTGTATACTAGTGGCTCGCTAATTACTCCCTATAAGCTAATCACAATGCCAACCCGCAGGTGGCTATGTTTCAAGCTTTAGCGGAACAACTAGTGCAAACGGCCTCGTACAACTCCAATTTGCAACCTGGAAATGACGAAAATTGTGATTTCTATGAAACTAGGTAATCTTTATCCAATCTTGTCAGAAAGCGGCGCCCCCCCCCAAAAAATACATCAAAAAAGGCCGCTGTAAACGCCAGTGCTATGCTCCTCGAGGCTAAAACGTGCCTGTTACTCAGCCCGCCTCATAGTCCAGTTTCTAATAAAATGTGGTCTACTCATGCGAGGTTCTCTATACTAATAAGAAAAAAAAAAAAAACTGTACGAGGAACACGGCCTACTCCTATGCTGCGTTTCCAATACGCTCGCTGGGCCCAAACAGGCCATCATCCTTGACGGCCTCGCTGTACTCGGGCGGCGGCGACTCCCACTTGCTGTCGTACGGGTCCGGGTCGCTCTCCTCGCTGGCCTGGTCAATGTCGGCATCGCTCGAGTGGCCCTGCTCGCTCGTCTCCACGTCCTCGATCGGCTGCGCGGCGCGTTGGTGCCACGCGCTCCGTGTCGGTGCTGGCGGCGTCGGTTCGTCATCGGATGATGTGCTCGCGTCCGTCTTGGGCTGCTGTGCATCGCTCGGTACCGCCAGGGGCTTGGAAAAGTCAAACGCGGCAAGGGTGCTGCTTGTCGAGGCGGCGGGGGTGGCGGAAAAGGCGGTGCTGGGCCGGGGAATGTGCATTTGGCTTTTGCTGGCGCGGTGCAGACGCGGCTTGCGCGCTGCAACGGGGGAGTTACCGCGGCTTCGGCGTAATCGCATCTCAAGACGCTCCTCCTCGAGCGTATCGTCGTCGGTGATGTCTGCGGTGGCAGCGTCAAACGTGTGGGAGCGATCGCCCATGCTGCGGAGACAGCCACCGGAGCGACGTCGATGCTGCTGCTGCACGGTGCCGGCGGGTGCGTCGCCGCCCGCGGCCTGAGGGGTGGTGATGCCTGCAGAGGGGGCGGGGAACCCGGCGCCGAGCTTGCGCAGGTCGCCCTGGCTCTCGGAGAAGACGACCCTAGTGCGGAGCCGGTGCACGGCGTCGTCAAGCGCGAGCTCAATCGCGCAGCGGTCCCGTATGCGACTGAGCTTGGGCCATGTGGCCCTCTCGCCGGCGATGCTCGAGCGGAGCATGAAGTCGGCACTGGGGTTGCTCAGCAAGCCCGGGAGCTCGGCGAGGCCAATCTCGGGCAGGATGGTAATGTCGCCGCTGTACTTTTGGCTGAGGATGCTCTGGCACTTGGTCATGAGGTTGGGGAAGATGCCCATCTCGGCCATGAACTGGAGGCGGTGCAGGGCCTCGTCCCGCGCGAGCGTGGTGAACATGGCGAGCCAGTCAAACTCGTCGGGGAGCGGCTGGCGGGCCTTGAGCAGCAGCCGGGCCTCGGGCGAGAGGTGGTCGTCCTTGGGCAGGAACGGGACGACGTGGGGGTTAACCTGGGACACGATGAAGTGGTTGACGTTGAACATTTCGGCGAGGCGCGTCATGGGCAGGTCGTTGTCGACGGAGCCGTCAATGAAGTGCTGCGGCGACGGGTTCCAGCGGTGGTGCTCGGCCGTCACCGGGTCCTTGACGAGCAGCGGCGACGAGTGAAAGACAAAGGGCAGCGAGCACGACGCCGTGACAGCGGACCAGATCATGACATTGGGCGCGGTGACGTAGTTGAGCAGCCGCGGCAGCTCGTACACGGACTCTGTCGAGACGCAAATGTTGAGAATGCGGCGCGTGCGGTTGTAGGCTTCCTGAAAGGTCATGTCGCCCATCATGGTGCGCATGACGCGCTTGAGATGCTTGATATCCGACCAGCTGCCCTCGGTGAGCAGGCGGCGGACGTGGTTGAGCGCGCCCGAGTCGCTCTCCTCGTTGCCAAAGACGGCGAGGTCCCCGTGGGGAAAGTCGCGGAGCAGGGCGGGAATCTCCTCGTCGGTGCGGGTGCACAGCACGGCGCAGACAATGCTGCCCGCGCTGGCGCCCGAGATGATGCGCGGCAGCAGGTGCGCGTCAAAGAGCGTCTTGAGCACGCCAATGTGCGACATGCCAAACGTGCCGCCGCCCGACAGCAGCAGCGCGCTGCGGCCAAAGCTCTGCCGCGCGAGGAGCATGCCCTCGAGCAGGTCGCGCGGCGCGACGGCGGCGACGGCGCTGTGCAGGACGACGGCGTCAATGATCTGCAGCGCGGCGTCGACGTACCGCTCGATGAGCGTCTTGGTGCCGAGGTAGGAGTGGCGGTAGAGGTCGACGTTGCCCATGCCGCCAAGGTCGCGCGAGAGCTCCGTCCGGATGAGGTGCATCATAGTGACGAGGTCGCCGTGGGCGCGTGCGTCTTCGAGGGCGGTGAGGCGTTCTTCGATCAGACACGGGTTGTAGTCGCCGTCGGAAAAGTCGCGTTTCCACTCGTCGTTGCCCTCGAGGAGGTCGAGCTCTTCGGCGGCATCCTGCCACTGTTTCAATGTTTCGGCCTATGGACAGGTTGGTTAGTGACGGTTGGTAGTGGATATAGAGACGGTGCCGTGGGGGAGTCGGAGCCATTGAGCAGGTCGTACACTCTTCATTCGCAATGTCAGGACCTGTTTGCGTTCTTCCTTCTTGCGCAGCAAGGCCCTCTCGTCGGCGTTCAATCCATCCTTCCAGTATAACAAAAGGTCGTTGGCGCCCTTGATCGTTTGCGAGACTTTGCCCACAATGTTCGTCTCGGACGGGGCTTGCAGGCGTTGTCGATGAGCAGTCGGTACGTCCGTCTTGTGTGAGGCCGATGGCTTCTTTGGGCTGCTGGGTGCGCGCGCCCTTCGCGGGAGGATGAGGTCGACCATGCTGACGCGCAATAAATCGGAGACAGGTATATATCAAATATTTTTCTCAAATATTTTGCCAGCTGCACTCCATGTTGCAGACGAGAATATGATCGTCCCTCAATAAGACGGGCTGTTGCGGAAGCAAGGTTATCGAGCGCAAAGCGCGGGATCGTGGTGACGTTTTTTGGTGGGAGAAGCGGCTCTCCACCAACCCCAGCAAAGGGAGAGAATGCCGAGGGTAGGCCGGGGGCAAGGGGGCGGCGTTTGGCCAATTTTAAACTTTGTCCCGGATCGGTGGGTAATAATAAACAGGTTGATCCTCCGTGAGGCCGTAGGATAATAGGTAGTTAGGGAGCAGAAGACGGGAGTGAGGCCTGAGAAGAAAGGCGAGATATAAACGATGCAGGGACTTGTTGCGTCTTGAAGATGCAGATGCTGCAGACGCAAGGCGGCATCTGGTGGTGCATTGAATACAGTAATAAGAAAGGCATGACTGATGCTAGTTTGCCCGCCGCGCCGGCCAGCGTTAGCGCCGACATGTGCGTGGCCATCTGACCGCTTCAGGTGACGCTGGTGGCTGGAGCGGCCGGACTAATACGCTGATGACAGGTAGGTAGTTAGACCGGACAGGCATGATGTTATTTGGTCGTGAACAAACTACATACGGCGGGAAGATCGTGGGGGTCATCTGAAACAAGATGTAATATAGGCCATATACGAGAATAAAAGCTGGGGAGAAACACAGGCTCCGCCACTGGCCCAGTGAGCCCGATAATAGGTACCTAACCAGCATCTCTGTGGCGAGCAACAAATAAAACCTCATGAGCAAGCTCAGCTTCTTCCTACCACAAGACTTCATGTACAGATTAGAATGGCATAACCAGCCCGCGTTACATGGCACATATACTTGCTTTTCAGCGCATGTACGGTCTCACTCGGCTAAGCTGAATGCAAGACAGTGGAGGAACCTGAATGGGCCACACTCGAGTCTCGACCCGAGAGCCGCAAAATGCACCGGCTTGCATAATCAGGCCTTGTGGCTCTCGACTTTGCTTTCACATGTTCTCGCTTCGTTGCTACTATTTGCATTGGTAACACCGGCTATCATCCAAGGCCCCTTTCCTAGGCCCTGTTGCTACCCGAGTAAAGTTCCCGGAGACATACCAGGCGGCGAGGGAATAACGTGCAAGAAAATAATATACATATATACATGTAGAACCATGATATATTACACATTGTAAAAGGAATGGCTAGTGATAATGCACCCATGTGAGAAAAATACAAATCGCCACAGAAAATGCTCATGTACTCCGTATGCTCCGTTATCATCCTTGGCCTCTCACCCGCTGCACCAGTTGCCCGCAACGGTCGCCCCAGCCCAGTCTGCCAAGACGAAATGGCAGGCCATCTCTTTCGCGTAATCGTTGCTCAGAAGCCGCCGTGTGTGGCATATACTCGATATGTCATGCTATATGCCATGCTGTTGATTGAACCCGTCGCTGGTGATATGCTTCATGTCGTGCCGTTACCACGACCCCAAAACTCCCCTCCTCCAAAAAAGCAAATTTCCACCCAAAAATGATGCTATTTGATTACTATTGGAATAGTCCAGGAACCCATGCTTCTGCTCGTGGTTGAAGCACTGCTCATGCTGGCGATTGCCACTGACGCAGTACCTTGGCTGTCTGCTAAAAGTGGAACAACTGTGACGGCGGGTTTGGATAAATCGGCTGCTGAGCATGTCAAACCCCTGTCCCGTGGTTCCAAGAGGGGGAGGTCTGCTAGTCTCGCTTGTGCTCGTAGCTCTGGCGCGGAATTTGGCCCATCTATGACCTGAGCACGGGAACGTGCACGAGCGGACGCATTGGCATGTGCCTGGCTCTGCATGTATTGTTGTTGTTGTCGTGTCTTACTACTCAGGTTTCTTCATCTTGCAGTAGAAGTACGCTCAGCGTGCAGTCTCGCCGCTTCGGTCCCGTCATCGCGGGTATGTTCCTGGAACCAGGGGTGCTGCAGCGCCTCCTTTGCCGTGATTCGGTTGTTGGGGTCAAAGGCAAACATTTTGCGCAGCAGGTCCAGGAAGCCGGACAGAAACGTATTCGTAGGCGGAATGATATCCTGCTCAAAGGTTAGCTGCCAAAATATGGTCCTTTCTAGCCAGTCGTCACGAACCTCTAGCTTCTTCATATTATTCACAAACCGTCTCGATGCTCTCGTCGTCTCCGGGACTGGGTATTCAAGCTTCAACCGCTTGAAATAGCTACATGTCGGTTAGCAGGAGTATCATGGGCTTGGCTTGTCTACGGTGCAGGACTTACTTGAGTGTTCCGGGCTTGGCAGTCTTGAATGCCTTGTTTGCCCGCTGTATCAAGCCCCGATCAATTGGACGACCGCAGACGGCTTCCATCATAGCGAGGTGCTCCCTGTTCTCATGTGTCTGAAACAAAGCGTCCCCCGTAAACAATTCGACCAGGATACATCCAATGCTCCAAATATCGCACGGATACGACCAGTCGAGACTAAGAATGACCTCTGGAGCTCTGTAGTGCCTGGTTGAGACGACCGAACTATGGTACTCGTCTTCAAACGTCGCAGAGCCAAAATCAATGAGGCAAATATCGGGCTTCAGCATGACTCGTCTTTGCTTGACTTGCCGACACGTCGCCGTCGAGACGGATGGTATGTTGCGGTTATATGTAAAGGCCTGATAGGAGGCGTCGTGAAGAAGAATATTTTCCGGTTTCAAATCCGTGTGCACAAGTTTAAGATCATGCAAGACTATATCCCGACTGGTCAGTTTTGGCGCGAGAACGAAAGCAGGCTGTTGCAACTACGTACAAGCAACGCTGGTGAGAAGCTGATGGGCCATGTTTTGGATGTGGCTGTTGGGAAAGGGCGCGAAGTTGTTGGCCTTGAGAAAATCAAAGATGCTCGAGTCCAGCAAGCCCATGGTGATGCAGATGTGGCCTTTGTAGTCGAAGCTGTCCCGCGGATGAATGCATCGATATCGGTTTTCGGGGTCGTTGCTGCGAAGGGTTTGTAAAACGCGAAGCTCTATTCGCGCGGCATCACGGTATTTCTGAATTGAGCGGATAATCTTCAGGGCGACGTGCTCCTGGCGGACCATGTCGTACGCCTTGACAACCTTGCCAAACGTGCCCTGCCCAAGAAGTTTCTCGACGCGATCTGCCAAGTTGACTTTGTCAGATTTGTTCAGCGTGTCATGTGCAACGAAGTCTTACATTGTCGTCCGACACGCTGCTCGGGGATAATGATAAAGTGCCCGTCTTCGTCGTCGACGGACGCGGCACTGCCGTGGCTCTTTTCCTGCCAAAGAGTTAGCGAATGGCTGTTCCTGTGCTTGCTCCCCCCCGGAAACCAGACACGTACATCGCGAACGACTCGAATCTCGGCGTTCAGAACTCGTCTCGCCGGTATCCGCGGCGGTTTGTACTCTGCGTATCTCGGCCTCTTGGTCGACGCCACACTCTGGGCGGAGCTTCGCGTGCCGTCGCCCGGGCTGTCGCCCACTCTCCGCCTCTTCCGCCCGAAGTTGGACTCAGTATGGCTCGGGTACAGGCCTGTACCATTCGTCGTGCCGTTGCTGACCGAGCCGACGTCCAGACGCTCCTGTGCCTTTCGCTTTCTCGCGGTCGAAAGGGCGCCCTCTGTGGCCGACGGCGGCAGCGCTGGGCGGCCGCTGGCGTAGTTCGGGGTCGGTTCGGGCGAGTCCTCAATCACAATGACTTCTTTTGGCAGGCCATTTTTGTAAAATGTGTTCCAGTCGGGCTGGCGAGTCGTCTGCGGAGGCGCGCAATTTGGAGCGCCGGGCCGGTGCTGCGGAGCGACGGCAGCAGACATGGCGACAAATTGGTGCAAGTCGTCTTTTTTTTTGGACTTTTTTTCTCTCGGCGGGTTCTAGCTGTTTTTCATGGTGAATTTCGCTTCGCACAGTCGAAAAAAAAGGGCTACAAGAGGGCCATGGCTGTGGTTTCGCTGCATTTGATCGTGGCTATGGAACCAGGATTGAATCATGGATACAGCAGGTACAGCAGGTGCCGAGCGGATTAAGTTTTGACCGGCGACGATAGCGAGAACATAGGGTTGGCGCCAATCACTCACAACATGACAGGTACACCATTAAATAAAAAAAAGGGGGCACAAAAATAAAATTTAGTCACATCAGTCTGATATTGTGTCTTTTTTAGAAATTAATACTTGAATTTGGGTGACTGTTATCCCTTGTTTACTTTGCTGCCCCCGTCCCGCAAGCACCATCGAACATCCACCAAATGATTTTGAGCGCTCTCCGGCGGCATAAAAAAGAAGTAGAAAAAGGATAGCAAACTGACGCCTGGCTCTTTACGAAAGGCGAATAGCGGGTTTGAAAATTCAATTGCCACAATCCTGATCCTAATTAGCCCCCGAGTACAACAACCAGTGAAGAATCTCGCCTGAGAAACGAGGGGGTGGCTCCGAGCCTGGTGGTGATGGCACAGGTGGGGCCAGCCTGTGCGCGCCACAGTTGCATCCCAGCTCAGACATGCATGCATCCCCAACATGCCGAGAAGACGTATTTGTGAGGGGTTCATTCTCGTCGAGGTATATATTTGGAGCGTCTTGTAGTCAAAGATCAATGCAAGTTTACTCTCCTGGAACAGATCGAAGCGGCGGTGAGAGTCATCTCCTACTAGTAAACCGTCGGTCGACATGACCAATATTCCTCAATTTAGTGAGGTCCGCGCCATAGCCTGATTTTAATAGTCACAGTATCCCAGTATCCCGGGTGCTCTCATAAATGTATGTAAAGCTAAGTTGGAATTTTATCACTCTCGAATACCTCTCCAATGAACACGGTACTTCACGTTCTTCCCACCAGTCTTTCCCTAGTTACCGTAGTTTTGAAAAATACCTTGTTATACCTTGCTTTATACCACTGGCTCTTCCGTTCGCCCATTCATTTTTTTGAGGCGAACTTTTGGCTGCAAATACCGTAATCGTGGCTTCACTCTCCGATATTCTGGCCACAACGGCGGACCAAATCCACCGTAAGCACCCCACAGTCGCACCTATAACACTCATGCCAATATAGCCGGCCGGCTCCCGAGATCACAAAAGACAAGCTCGAGAACTCTACCATTTTAATCGCTCTCATCGTTATGGTTGCCGTCATGGGCTCCGCCTCGGTCGCATTTCATGTCAGGGGTCGGAAAGAGATGGCATCTTGCGATCTACCCTTCTCCTCTCTGCCATCATGACTGCTTCCTTGGCGGTATAGTATCGTAAAGGGGCATGGTCTCCAGGTACGACACGGGTTACCACTGTGAACTCTTGAACCCGACGTCCATCCGGCTACGAGCCTGTGCAACATATGGCACGTAGTCCGTCGATTGGTTCGTCACCTCTACCATCATCTTCATACAGCTTTCATTGGTCGCTGGCTTAAATGGTGCGACAACATCTGTTGGCCTTTGGCCTCGCCTCCAATTCTGTTTTTTTTTTTTTTTGGCCTGCAGGAAGGTTGCGTCAGATTGCTTCAGCCAGCTACCCAGCAGGCGAACCGCTTGGACAGCTTTTGCAACCTTTCTTCTTCGGCGTTGTTGTGTGGAAAGTGGACTTCGGCAGTCTACACACTGCCAGGAGCCGCGGTGCAGTTTTCCAACAGCCGTTTCCTCCTCTTCTCAGAGACACACTGCTCATGTTCACCGAGCAGTACACCTTTTAAGCCCGTATTCGGACTATAGCTGCTTTCTTCGTATAGAAAGATACCCGAGTTCCAGTTCCAGTTCGAGATTGAGGGGTACTGGTCGGAGGGCCTCTCCAACGACAGAATGAACTTATCCAAGACGACGAATGACTGAATATTCGAGTGGAAATTGTAACCGAGAGATGCGCATTGAATAATTTGTGGTATCTCATTAAATTTGAATTGTCATTTTCTAACGGTGCTCCTCTGGCGTCTCTTTATGTGCCGCCAGTTCTGCAGCGTAACTATGCCGCGCTGGTTGTGCGGCAATGCTCCCGGTTGATGAGCCCACACTCGAGCGGTGGTCAGGATGGGCATGTTGCAGGTTCTGCGACCAGCGCGGATCTGAGGGCGTCATTGATGACCTCTGTGACTGTTGAAACGCAGGGCTGGGCTGCGGCGAAGGGATGCTGCCACCACTCATGTGCCTATAGTCGCCGGGCAGCTCAAGCACCGTGGAATACTCCTTGGGCGGCGGGGCGGGCGGTGTGTGGTAGCCCTGGCCGAACTGTTGCGGCGACTGCGGCATCGGTGGCGACTGCAGCGGCGGCGACGAGGAATTCGGGTTGTAAAAGGTCGAGATGTGGCCGGGCCGGGGCGAGACGAAGCTCGTCGCGGGCGAGAGCGGCGTGGACGCCCTGTGCGCCGCGTCGGGCAGCTGGGAGCGGTCATTCGGGTTGACCGTCTTGAGCTTGCCATTCTCAAACAGGGCCTGCAGGGCGCCCGAGTCGAGCAGCTCGGCCTTTTTAATGATGCGGTCGACCATGTCCTTGCAGGCCTTTTGCAGCTCCGACTTGACAAAGCCCATCATGGCAATGTTGCACTTGATCTCGGCCTCCTGGCGCAGGTACAGCCCGCTCGACGGGATACCCAGGGACTCCATGCCGAGCTCGCGCTGCTCGGGCGGCTCGACGCCCGGCTGGTTGCCGCCGACACGGTACTTGTTGCGCAGGTCGACGCCGAGGGGCGCGTAGATGTGCGTCTGCAGGCCCCAGGGCATGTCGTGGAAGCAGCCGTTGAAGGTGATTTGGCCGGACCCGATGCGGCCCATGCCGGGGACGAACTGGACGCGCTGGGTGATTTCGTACCAGGTGCTGTAGTACTCGTCGGCGGCGGCGTTGCGCGGCGCCGAGATGGGCCTGTGGCTGAGGACGAGCGGGTTGAGGGCGATGACTTCGCTGTGCGACTGGAGGATGTCGAGGGCGAGCTGGCGCGGGATGTAGCCGGGAATGGGCGTGACGACGGTGTAGGTATCCTTTTTGCGCAGCATTGTGAAGTGAGGTTGTGCGCAGCGTCGGAAGATTACAGGTATTGGTCGGGTAGCGAGGTCGGCACTTGATCTGTAGCACTTGATCTGTATCGTGTCGTAATTGCCTTTGTCGGCACTTTTATCTGTATCCTGATATCTCGTAGAGTCTGAGCGCTCACGACCGTTGCTTGTTTCCTGGCTCAAACGTGTGCCTCAAAATGTATGTGGGAGAGGAACAAGAAGTGCAAGGCAGATTCTTTGTTCTACGTACAATGGCTAGTCAGACGAAGAGGGGACCATCGGCCTGAATGCCGACCGCCCCCAGCATGCCCCTGCTAGGAAACGCCAACGTTTTCAGGTAACTTAATATTTAACGTTAGAAGAAAAAAATACAAATAACAACGTGGATCCTAGATTTGAGAATAGCGCCTCTTTTAAAGCCCTTTGATTACTAGACCACGCCCGCTGACAGATGAGGACTCTGCTCCAATCACAGCAAACAGCGGCACAGCCTAGTCGTGCGCAGCCCCCAGCCAGAGGGGGCTGAACGAGCCCAATACCAACAGCGCGATCAAGAGCATAATTACCTTAATCAGTAAGCCAAATGGTGTGCTTGACGTGCTTGGTGGTGATGGAGGGTTGACCAGGCCGATTATTCGTCAGTGTGGCTGCCCGAGGATGCCGGGAACGCGCAATCCCGCGCAGTCGGAGCGATGATGGCATGGCCGCATCATCAAGGACGTCTTGCTGCTTTCCGTGCCCGCTTTTCAGCATGAATATTGCCTGCGTTCCGTGAAGCTCTGAGTGACGAGTTTCCTTTCAACCAAACAACAAACGCACCAGCAAAACTTCATCAGTCCAGAATGAAGCTGAGCACCGTGACCTTTTCTCTCTGTGCCACCGGCGTCGTGGCCATCCCGCGCCCGTCCGCCGGCACCGATGACGTCGCCGCGTGGTGGCAGAGCGTCGCCTCGCTGGAATCACTCGCGGGCGAGGCTATTCAGCGCTCGACCGACGCCGCCGTCGGTGCTGCGCAGCAGATGCGCGACAAGGCTCTCGAAGCGCTCCGCAGCCTCGACCACCCTCCCAAGCATCCCAAGCCCGGCAAGCCCGGCAAGGGCGGCCCCGAGCTGACCATCTACCAGACCCTGCAGGCCTTTGACGGCGCGTCCGAGTTTACCAAGCTCCTCGACGACTTCCCCAAGCTGATTGACGCGCTCAACAGCACCGACGGCGAGCACACGCTGTTTGTGCCCCTGAATGGCGCGTTTGACAAAATCCCAGACAAGTACAAAAAGCCCAGCCATGAAGCGTTGGACAAGTTTCTGCACTACCATGTCGTGGCAGGGGCGAAAAACGCCGTGGATGTGCTGAGGAGCTACACGCTCGAAAGTGAGGCCGAGGAGCGCGGTTTGGGTGGCGAGCACCAGCGCATCCGTGTTGGTGCGAGCTTCCGGGGTGTAACGCTTAATGGCTATTCCAAAATCAAGGCCGTGGACATTGTAAGATTCTCTGCATCCTCGAGAAGAATACAAAATCGGACACTAATACTTGCTTCTAGAAAACGACCAACGGAGTGATCCATGTCATCAGTGACGTGCTCGTGCCGCCACCGCCGCTGGGCCCGATCCTCACCTTCTTCCCCTCGTACTTTTCCACGCTGCTGCTGGCGTACGAGAAGACGGACTTTGTCAAGTTCGTCCACGGCCAGCACATTGCCGGCAGCACCCTTTTCGCGCCGAGTAACGATGCCTTCAAGAGCCTCGGCGCGCGGGCCAACGCGTTCCTCTTCAACACCGACAAGGGCGCCAAGTATCTCGAGGCGATTCTCAAGTACTCCATTGCGCCCAACGCGACCGTGTACAGCGATGCATTCTACGACAAGCGAACGGCTACTGCTGCGGGCCACCAGGACCACTACAGCCTGGATACCTTCTTGCCCGGCGCGGCCATTAGTGTCGACATTGCCACGGTGCTGGGCTTCCGCGTCATCAACATCAACGGCTTCACGGGCGTCAAGTTTCACGATGCGATTGGCAGCAATGGCGTGATTCATGTCGTGGATAAGATCATCTTCCCGCCACACAAGGGGAAGCATGGCAAGACGGAGGACATCAGCGTTGAGGAGTTGATGGAGAGGCTTGCGCCGTTTGTGACGGCGGAGGCGGACGAGGGATCGGAAGAGCTGTAAGCATGCTTGCTGCGGTGGGAAGTATGCCACCAAATGAATCTTGGTGGCTACACAAAGAACACTCTCCTCTCTCCTTCTTGAATTGATCCGATGTTGTGTCTATACATGAAGTAATATAATGTGCTGCTTCTATCCAAATTGATATGATGTCTGTCTCGTACTGTTTCTATTCATCTCACTCGGTCAAGAAGAAACGTATCACCGCGCTCTTTTCTTTAATTGTGCATTCATCAACCAACACGGCCTCCATCTGCTCAGGACAGCTTCCTCATATTCTCCCGCAGCTCCGCCGCACTCTTGGCAAACTGCTCCTCCAGCGCACTCCCCGTGTACTTGCCCGGAAGCCACCACGGCGCCACATTATCCGCCACGCGCTCCAAGCACCGCGCCGTCTCCCACTCTGCGGCGCCGATGCCAGCCGCCGGCGTGGCCACCCCGCGGGCCTCAAGCTCAGCCAGGTAAGCCGCGTACAGGTGGTCCGGCCAGTCGCCCTCGTTGCCCACGGCGTCGTTGAGGAACTCCTCCACGGGCGGGAAGAAGCCGGCAAACTCAAAATCGACGATGCCGGAAATCTGCGGCGGCGATCCGCCGACGAGAATGTTCCTGGGCGACAGGTCGTAGTGCGGAAAGACGAAGCGGCTGGGTTCTTGCTGGGTCAGTCGCGGAAGCGTCTCGGCGACGAAGCGTCGGATCCCGGGGCAAGGTGGCGGTTCGGGCGGTAGGTGTCGGATGTTTCGAGTAGAGTGAGCTTTTGCTCCAGCTTACGTGTGTACTGCTCGGTGACGCTCGTGATGGGGGTCGTGATGCGGAGCTCGTCGACCAGCATGCCTCTGACCACAAGATTTTGCGGCCGCGGGCCAGAGTTTTTGACAATGACGAAATCCGGCTCCGAAGCATGAACGGGTTGGTGAAACTGCACGTTGCCAATAAACATTTGGGCGGGAATGTCTGTCCGCCAGCTCGCCGTGACCCCCGCCAGCTGCCTCATAATGTCCAGCCTCGAAACCTCGTCCAAGTCGCACACCGACAGCGGCGCCCCCGGTAGTCGCGACATCAATATCCACCCTCCATGCTGTTTCTCCCCGTCCGGAATCGCCAACGCAACGTTTTTCGTCTCCGACCCCGCCGGACTCGCCAGGCACACATCATGCCCCTCCTCGGACCAGGCAAACACGACCGGCGTGGGTATCGCGGGGCAGTACTGGCCCAGCACCTGGAGACAGCCGACTTCGTTCTGGACCTTGTCGGCCAGAAAGAAGCGCCCGTTCGCCTTGAGGACCAGCTCCCGCTCGGCGGCATTGGTGTCGCGAAAGACGCAGCTCGGGCCGCCGCGACGTCGGACAGTGAGAAGGTAGAGCCGGTTGTTGTAGCCCTTGTGGCTGGTGAGCTCGAATGATGAGACCAGCTCGATGTTGGGGAACGCGGTGCGGATGAGCTGGGAGATGGTGGTCGGCGCAACATGCACGTTGTACCGTGGCTCGTGGGGGGGCGTCTGAGGTCGCGACATGGCCAATGTGAGGGTTGAAGAAGTATCTACCGTGTTGTGTGTCCTTGGACAGTATGGAAGCGTTTGGTCATCATGACGGTTGCAGGTCTAATATCCGCAGTGACACTCCTTAGCGTCATGCTCGGCGTGAGTCACGCGGCAAACGAAGTTCACCATCTGCCAGCTGTCATGGATTTATTTGGTGGACTATTCTGCTGATGAAAAATTGATGTGCTCAAGACGTCTGCTTCAAGGCTTTCACTCAGAGGTGCTTGATTGGCCGTGTCTTTCACTGCTAGCGTGTTATCGACACCTTATTACTAAACGTACGAATAACCTCATTTACGGCGCATCGGGGTCAGCATTGTTGAACCATTTCCTCTCCGGAATACCTTGCGCAGAAAGCTTCACGTCCGGCTGTGGCTCCAACTCAAGAAGGACCACCTTGTTCCTCGCCTTCAAGATACTCCCCGGCACGTACAGGCTCTGCTGCGGCCCAACCGTCCAGTACCGTCCCATGTTCACGCCATTCACCCACAAGACGCCCTTGATGCCCTTGGGCACCGCCAGAAACGTGTCGCCGCTCGGGTCCGCCGCCGCTCCGGCCGGCATGTCAAACGAGCCCGTGTAAAAGACAGGCCCGTCCTTCTGCCGAACCACGTGCGTCTTCTTGCCGTCCAGGCCGGCTGGCAGTGTGTCGAGCGGGATCGAGTGCATGCACCAGTTGGTGAGCACGGTGCCGCCGACCGACACGTGCCCGACGATGCCCTTGACCTGCTCGCGGAGACGCTGCCGCACGTCGACGCGACCGAGGTTCTCGACCAGGATCTGCAGCTTGTCTCCCTTGCGCAGCGTAACGCTCACGGTAGACGGCGTCTTGTAAATGGTGTCGACGACGCCGGAGCGCACGCCGTTGACGTAGATGATGGCCCGGTCACGGGCGCCGTCGCCAATCGTGACGTTGCCCGCGACGTCCGTGGCCACGGTGTGCTGGTACAGCACGTACCCATACGCCTGCCCCAGCGCGTCCATGCTCACAGGGTCGCTGGCCTGCCGCGTCGGCCTGCCTTGCAGGTCAAACAGGGCCGCGGCGGGCCGGAGCTGGAACTCCGGGACCGCGGCGCGGGCCGGCATCGCGGGCACGCTAGGAATGCTGCCCTTTGGCACGTACTTCTGGATCATGTCCCGCAGGCGAAAGTAGACGTCTGTGGGCCGGCCGCTCTCGTCGAGCGGCGCGCCATAGTCGTAGCTGGTGGTCATGGCGGCGAGCGGGCCGTCGTCACGGATGCCGCCGTTTTCGAAGCCAAAGTTGGTGCCCCCGTGGAACATGTAGATGCTAAACGAGTACCCGCCGGCCAGGGTCCAGTCCAGGTCGGCGACGGCCTTGGCCACGTCGGCCTGCGAGCCGGCGATTTGCTGGTGCGGGTAGTCGCTCCCCCACTGGTCGATCCAGCTGATGTAGTACTCGCCGTTGAGCTGCGGGCCGAGGCTCGTCGGGTCCGTCACGTACTTGTCGCGCGCGGCGAAGCCGGACTGCGAGTCGCCGTCGATGACGGCCAGCACGCCGTGCAGCTGCCCGCCCTCGAGGTACGACTGGCCGCCGCCGTCGTTGGTGTACAGGAAGACGTCAAAGTTTTCGCGCAGCATGGCCGCGAGCGCGGCCAGGTACGTCTTGTCCGTGCCGAAGCTGCCATACTCATTCTCCAGCTGCGCCATCAAAATGGGCCCGCCTTGCGTGATCTGCAGCTGGCCCAGTTCCTTGCCGAGACGGTCAATGTAGGACTTGGCCGCGTCCAGGAACGGCCTGTTGTTCTGGCGCACCGCCATGCCCGGGACCTGGCTCAGCCATGCCGGGAAGCCGCCCCAGTCGCGCTCGCCGCAAATGTACGGACCGGGCCGCAGCACAACCCGGAGGCCCTCCTGCTGTGCCAGGCGGAAGAAGCGCGCCACGTCGTTGCGCCCGGAAAAGTCCCAGGCGCCGGGCCGCGGCTCGTGCAGGTTCCAGTAGAGGTAGCTGAAGATGGTGTTGAGCCCCATAGCGCGCGCCATCTTGAGCCGGTGCGTCCAGTACTCGGGCAGAATGCGCTGGGGGTCCATCTGCCCGCCGATGATCTGGAATGGCTGGCCATTGAGGAGGAAGTCGGTACGGTTGTAGCTGAAGCTACCCGGGGCATGGGTGGTCTCGGCGGCCAGAGTGGCTGAAAGGGCTGAAAGAGCTACTAACGTTCCCCAGAGGAACTTCATTGTGTCAAATTGAGCCAAGGGTAGTAATAAGAAGGACAGTTATGATGTTGTAAGTCAGCCACAATCTCAACATGGGGAAATTCGAGGTTGTGGAGAGAAGTGCCAGGCTTATAAGTCGTCTACATCATGCCTGCCAATGACCTGACTACGTTCTGGACTTGTGCATCGACATACTACGACACAGCGTAGCAATCGCTTGCAATAAAGCACTACCACCTTCCAAGTTGGCTGTGCTATAGCTGCGACAACTGCTTCGGCATCAAGTAGCGGAACACGAGACCACACGGCAGATTTGGACAATCTTGTGGAGTCTAAGCGACCTAAAATGATCGCCAAAGAGACAAGGTCCCGCCCTAAAGCCGTCGGGCCAAGTCTTGTATATTGCTGCACCTCCGTGGCGGCGACCACATGTACTCGATCTACACGTTTCGATCTCGCTTTCAACAGCCCCCTCCGAAACTGTCTAATCGGAAGCCGCAGAGCAGAAATGCCCAACAATTCAATTTCATTGAAGGAGATGATTATTTTTCTCGTACTTAATTGTCTACTACGAGTCCCGCCCCTGCAGGTCATGTAACCCTGCGGATGGTTGCATGTCCATCGCTGCAACAAGCTTTCGATGAAGCGATGGCACCAAGCTGCACCAGAGACGGAAGATGACCCCGTGATCGACTGCAAGATATGCCGTAAGAGGAAGCCAGGAGGAGCCGTTGATGTTACCTTGGAGACTGAACTTTAGTGCCATCGGAATCCCAAGTTCCTGGCACTTCGTAATACGCGCTGAGCATTAGACCTCTGATGTGAGTAAGCTCGAGAGTTGGCTCGTTAAACTGGGGCGTCAAGCTCAAAAACAAGATTGGAAAGGCTCTGCCTTGCGAAGATAACATGTCCCATTTCATAACATAATAGCAATCGCTAGTGCGGAGGTCTGGGTCGCCCTAGTCGCGGTGCAAGTAATTGTACAGAATGGAGTGTCATTGACCCGGTGGCCCGCATGTCAGGAGCTGTCTATTTAGTTATGTAGGATCAGAAAAATGAGGAGATTGGAAAGGATATGCGAGGCTGTCATGTATTGGATTATCTGCTGCCGTCGGCTCCAGACGGCAGCCGAGGACCAATAGAATTGAGCCTTGCTCCCGACGAAGCCCGACGGCTAAGGTTCCTCACTAATACCAATACTACATGCTCCGGAGAGATGGTCTGCAATCTTACATCAACAAGATACATCACCGCACTTTGGGAGGCAATTCTAATCAGGCACTAGCCGGCAGCATGCACGGATGCTGCAACGTTACAAAGCCTATACGACGCTGATCGAACCAACTACAGGGACCACTGCCGAATAATCGAGGATACAAGTTATTTTCCTTATTTCCCCACGCCATGATGAACCTCGACGCTCCACCACGGTGTGAGCTGCCAATCACTTGCCTATTTAGGAAGCTGGCCTATCAACTTCTCCGCAGCGCTATAGATGAGAGCTCGGTAGACATGTCTCGACCATGGCTATAGCTATTTTGCTGGCTTCATGAATAAATAGAGCCTCGGTGCGTCCACAGCAAGATGGGCTTCCTCGCTGCACTATCCTCTGCTTCCCCTTACTCCTCCATATTGGACCTGGCAAGCACCATGAAGTCGCAGCTAGTTCTCGCCTCCGCCGCCGGGCTGGCCACGTCCACCCACGTTGACCTTCCCCTGCCGCCCATGGGCTTCAACAACTGGGCGCGCTTCACCACGCACATCAACCAGTCCATCTTCACCGATGCCGCCACCAGCATGGCCGCCAACGGCATGCTCGCCGCCGGCTACAACCGGCTGAACCTCGACGACGCGTGGTCCACGCACGAGCGCGCCGCCAACGGCTCCATGGTCGTGGACAGCGTCAAGTTCCCGCAGGGCCTGTCCTGGCTGGCGGCCTTTATCAAGGACAAGGGCTTCATCCCGGGCATCTACACCGACTCGGGCACGCTCTCGTGCGGCCAGTACCCGGCCGCGTACGGGCACGAGGCGATTGACTTGCAGGACTTTTCCGACTGGGGCTACGAGTACCTCAAGCTCGACGGCTGCAACGTGCCGGGCGAGGACGAGGCGGCGTACCGCCGCGTGTACTTTGACGTCTGGCGCGAGCTGCTGCTCACGTTCCCCAAGCCCGTCGTCTTCTCCAACTCGGCGCCGGCGTACTTTTGCGGCGCCGACAACCTCACGGACTGGTACAGCATCATGGGCTGGGCGCAGCAGATGGGCCAGCTCGCAAGGCACTCGTACGACATCATCAACTATGACAGCAAGGGCAGCGCGTGGGACAGCCTGATGACCAACTACAACCAGCATGTGCGCCTCGCCCGCTACCAGCGGCCCAACTTCTTCAACGACCCCGACTTTCTCAACACGGACCACCCCAACTACACCCTGGAAGAGAAGAAGACGCACATGGCGCTCTGGTCTTCCTTTTCTGCCCCGCTGATTGTCAGTGCGGACATTCCGAACTTGAAGAAGGAGGAGCTCGAGATCCTCCTCAACAAGGATCTTATTGCCATTGACCAGGATCCGCTTGTGCAGCAGGCTACCCTCGTCAGCTCCAGCCCTGACTGGGATGTTCTGAGCAAGAACCTGGCCAACGGTGACCGCGTCCTGACCATCCTGAACAAGGCTGGCAAGGCCGGGGACTACACGGTTCCGTGGGCCAGGATCGGCATCCAGACCGACCGCATCAGCCCGGACACGGCGCTCAGCGTCAAGGACCTCTGGACCGGCAAGACCGAGCAGGTCAAGATTAGCGCTGGCGGCATTACTGCCAAGAACGTCGGCCCCCACGGCACCTTTGTCTACCGCATCTCGGGCCGCATGGGCGGCTCCAGCCATCCCATTGTGCTGCCCACCGGCCTCATCTTCAACACGTTTTCCCTCAAGTGTCTGAGCGACGACAAGTCGGGCAAGGTGGCCTGGAAGACGTGCGACGGATCGGACGGCCAGACTTGGACGGTCAGCGACGAGGGCCGCGTCCACAGCCTGCTGCGCCCCAACGAGTGTCTGGCTGATGTGCAGGGAAAGCTGCTCAGCCGCCACTCGGGCTGCCGCACCGATGCGTGGAAGTACTACAACAGCGGGAACCTGGTGAATGGCAACTCGAACCGCTGCCTGACGGAGGGGGCGGCCGGCGCGGCGAGCGTTAGCGACTGCGGCTATGCGACCAATGAGCAGGTTATCGGCCTTCCCGTCGGTGCCAAGGTTATCGAGGTTGATTACTACGCCAACAAATAGACGAACAAAAATGGATGGAGAATACATGAAGCATGTAGATTTTGCCGATACTATTCGCAACGATGAATAGAATTTATCAGCTATACAAGCTTGTGGATAATCGCATCGTCAATTTGTAGATACAGCTTGTGCCTCTGAATCCTTGAACTTGTCGAGCTTGAATAGCTTCTTGGCATTATCACGGCCAATCTTTCCGACATGAGAGGCATCCTTAAGCTCAACCTTGTCATACCAGTCACACGCGTCCCCAAAGGATTCAAATGGGTAGTCAATGGAAAACATGATGCGATCCGCGCCCATTTCCGTAATGCAATACTCGAGCGTGGGGGTAGAAAAGTGGCCACTCGTCGTGATCCAGATATTTTGATCAAAGTACTCGCGGATGGTCTTCTTGCAGGCCAAGCCGAGCGGCTTCTTGACGTCCTCGAACCAGTGGTTGATGCGCCACAGGTCAAACGGCAGGTGCTCGCCGAGGTGGCCGATGACGACCTGCAGCTTGGGGTGGCGGTCAAAGACGCCATTCGTGACCATGCCGAGCAGGTGCAGGCTGACGCCCTGCGCAAAGCTGAGGGGCGGGCCGATGAGCCACTTGCGCTTGGCCCAGAGCTTCTCGTAGATGGTGCCGGTCGGGTTGCGCGGGTGCAGGTAAAATGGCACGTCGAGGTCGGTGACGGCGGACCAGAAGACGTCCCACTCGGGGCCGTCGTAGAAGAGCATGTCGTCGCCGTCGGGGCCGGCGCGCTGGGTGTCGTTGACGAGCGCGCCCTTGAAGCCGAGCTCGGTCACGCAGCGACGCAGCTCGGCGGCGGCCTCGGCGGGATCATGCATGGAGAGAGTGCTATGAGACGTTAGATGCTGATTTGCTTTGGTAGAGGGAGCAGCAGGACTGACGCGAAAGCACCTAGTCTGTCGGGGTGGGACTTGATGGCACCGGCAATGTAGTCGTTGATCTCGGTGGTGAGGGTGCGCGCTTCGGCAGCATCCCAGATGTCTTGCACGCCGGGGGCCGTATACGAGAGAATGGTGTAGCCCACGCCGTGCTTGTCCATGTTTTGGATGCGCGTTTCCGTGACGTCCGTCATCTCGTGGGCATGTTTGTCGGGGTCTACCGCGAAGAGCGACGCCCACCAGCGAGTCTTTTCATGGAGGCGAGGCAAGGCAAAGGCCTCTTCAAAAGCAACCTTTCCGCGCATTTCGATGAGATGTTGCGATGGCAGAAGTTCTTGTGCTACAGAAAGGGTGACGATGCGCTCTACTTTCTGCAGGCAACGGCCGGCTTGCCCGCTTTTGTAGTCTGGTCGTATAACCCCCCCTTGAATCGTGTGCATCATCCGCCGCCGGAGTACTGCTTCCCACCCGCATCGCCATCAGACTATAGCTAGCTCGAGTATGCGACGGGGCAGATCTCCCGATCGTTTGGGGCAAGGTGGATGGATGTTGGTGGGCATGCAGGGTACATTGCCGAACAGTGCGAATAGCTGCCCCGCGTAAGATTTGGACTTTCGCACTGTGCAGCGCGCGACTCAGTAGCCGGCCATTGAAGCTTTGCCAACTGAGATACTGATAAGGAATCCCGATTTTATCCTTGTTCAGCTCGATTTAGTCGTGGGAAGTGCTCGACCTTGACGCCACTGCTTTACCTTTTTTCCTCGCCATCTCAAGCACGTACAAATGGGAGCCGCACTTTAGCTGCGTCTCGCCATGCCGCGACCCAAAGTCCATCCCAGCCAGCGAAAGCGGACAGCCGAAGCGTGTAACTCTTGCCGCCTGTCCAAGAAGCGGTGCAGCGCCACCATTCCCTGCACCGCGTGCCAGAGACGCGGCATCGGCCACACGTGCTACCTCACCCAGAGCCCGCGCGCCGGACGCTCGACAGGCTCCAAAGCGCAGACGCCATTGGGGAATAACCCGGAGACGGAGACATCTGAACACGCTCGTCGTGGCTCTGGTTGGCCGCTTGGGGACAGCGCGCGTACCTGGGTGCCGCCGCAGGACGTCTATCAGCCCATCTCGCCGTCAGAGTCGAGGACAGCCGCCACGGATACGAATCATGTAGAGGCGGATGTGTCGCCGCTGCGTAGTACGACACAGAGAGAGACGCCGGCGCTAGGAAGGGAGTCGCACGCACGCATGCTGCTGAATCTGAGAGGAGAGCGAGGTGAGTCTGGCTGGCACGCGGTGTGGAAGCTCACGTTGACGGGGCCACAGTGTACATCGGAGAGGCTGCTTCTATTTCCTTTCTTCAATTCGTTCGAGATACGGTAGCGGCCCAGATAGGACCCTCTCAATTTTCTCACAATGATCAGAGCGAGACTATGCTCGAGAACGAGCCTGTCATCAATGGCTCCAATATCCCAACGCCTGGGCTGACAGAGCTCGATGAAGAAGAACGCGAATCCTTCATACAAATATACTACGCTGCTGTAAGCCAACTCTCAAAATGCCCCAGTCTTGATGCTAATAATATAGACTGGCGGATTTTTGGATTTATTTTCCGACCAGGAGCTTGGTCAACTCTCCTCTGCGCCAGGGCATGAGCGGTCTGAACATGTGCCTCGCCACATGGAAGCCGTCGCGTCCGCCGCGATTGCTATTGGGGCGCAGTGCAAGTCGCCGCTCGAGTCGCCGCAGGTCAGCCAGGCCTACTTTCGCCATGCGCAGCGAAAAGCGTTTGCGGGCATGCTAGAAGACCCCAACATCAACATTGTGCGAGTCTTTCTGCTCATGGCCTATTACATGCTCGGCTCGTGCCGAAGGAATTCTGCTTTTATGTATCTGGGCATTGCCTCGCGCGCGGCGGTGTCACTGGGGCTCCATAGCAAGGACTCCTACGAGGATATGAGCAGTGTGCATCGCAATAACAGGTTGGTCCGAGTCAATCTTTGAACTAAGGCGTGTATCTGACAGTGCAGATTGAAAATATGGATGAGTCTTTGTACGCTAGACATGACTGTGAGCTCACTACTCGGTCGTCCGGCCGCAACCTCGGGCCTGCGTACTGAACTGGACGAGTCCCACATCAGCGCCCTTGCCGGCTCCGAGGATGAGGATTTGGCGGCTCTTTTCGCCGTGTACGGAATTCTCTCAATAACGACCGACGTAGTGGAAACTATGTACCGGAAAAAGGTGCCGTCCTTGGCGCTCATTGAGCGATCATTTGCCCGGATTGAAGACTGGAGTCGAGCAATCCCTAAAAGTTTGCGTGCGAGACCGACTCCAATAGCGTGCGGCACACCTAATCGCCAAGACGTCTACAGACTACACATGTCCTGTTTATACTATTTTGCCGTGACATTGGTCTCTCGGCCGATTCTCATCTCACAGCTGACATCCCAACCCAACACATCCGCCACTACGCTGTCGCCACTGGCATCTGCCTGTCTGGACGCGGCCGTTTTCCTGGTCCAGACATGCACAGATGCGAAAAAGTTGGATACTCTCTTTGGAAGCTTGTGCATTATCAAGTAAGCACTCCCTTCATCACGCTGATTTGGCATGACTGACGCTTCGTCGCAGGGCTCTGGTGTTTGCGGCTGGCCTCATTCTTGGTTTTGACATGTTTGCCAAGCGCGAGCTGGACTTTGAGATTGAGAATGCATTTTCGGGTGCCAAGGAGGTGCTGGACTTGATCGCGGAGCAGAGCGCGCAGGCGGCGCATTATGCAGAGATACTGGGGCGGCTGTCGAGCGCGATAGCGGAGCAGCGCCGCAAGACGGCATCGCAAGGCCGGAGCAAACTCGTCAGTCGGCTGTTTCCGTTTGGCGGGGATGCTGAGACAGGCCAGGGGGTTACAGACCAGTTCCGACTGCCGGAGACGACTGCGCAGACGGCGGGTGATCGTTTGTTGGCGGATGGCCCGAGCCACTGGCTGTTGGGACAGCCGCCGACGTTGTCTGCTGAATTGGAAAGCGATTTGATCGGTGGATGGGACGTCTTGGACCTGTCACAGTGGGATAACTTTCCATTTCACAGCCCGCGAAATTTTGCAAACGACGGGTGAAATAACCACCGTGTAGTATATATAGTCAGCTACAGTTTATGGTACACTGTTTATAGGTACCAGAATCGATATTGACCTGCAATTTTACAAATAATAGTCTCATATTACATATTACACAGTGGCATGATTACTGAGAATGTGACGGATTAAATGCCAGATAAGGCAATTATTGGACGACGACAGCACTACTGAAGCTGTCGGGAACGTACCAATGCAACCGCCAGATACAGAAATGATCCACTGATATGAACATGAACTCAAAATTCGTGCTGTGACTATAGCTGTCCAATATTCTGTCCATATTGTCAGCTGGCCAGCGACAAACCTCCGGATGTCGGGTAGTGCACCACAGCCACAGCCACGACCACATCCGACGTACTTTCCGCTATCTTTGGTGAAGCATCTACCGCCTGTATCTATAACATACTTTGGCTGTGTACTTGACGTATCGGGCACCGTTGACCAATAAAAGTGTGGTCATATGCCCAAGCCATAAATACACAGCGTTGCAGCCAGCCTCACCCCCCAAGTCCTCGAATCCCAAGAGAACCCAATTACCAGCTCCCTTGAACAAGCACTTTCCACACGATCATGGGATCCAACACACCATCCACCTGGCGGCCGCTCAACGTCGGCGTCGTCGGCGGCGGCATCGGTGGCATGTCCGTGGCGATTGCCCTGCGGCGCGCAGGCCACGGCGTGACAATTTACGAGAAACACGACTTTGCGAGCGAGGTGGGCGCGTCCGTGTCGTGCGCGGCCAACGGCACGCGCTGGCTGCACGAATGGGGCGTCGACGTGGCCAAGGGCGACCCGGTGGTGCTCAAGAAGCTCATCAACCGCGACTGGAAGACGGGGGAGCCCGTGAGCGTCTACGACCTGGACGACTACGAGCAGCGCTGGGGCTACGTGTACAACATGTTTCACCGGCAGTACATGCACGCGATGCTCAAAGACTGCGCCCTGCAGGCGGACGGCGCCGGGCGTCCGGCCAAGCTGGTCGTGAACCATCAGGTACCGTTGTGCTTTTTTTCAAAACAAGACGAGGTGCGAGAAACTGACGGCGTGTGTATCCAGTGCGAGACGATTGACGTGGAGAGCGGAACAATCACGTTCACGAATGGCGCGTCGGCGCAGCACGACCTCGTCGTCGGCGCCGACGGCATCGGCTCCGCGGTGCGCGGCCAGCTCGGCATCCACCCGGCGAAGCGGCCGTCGGAGTCGAGCTGCCTGCACGCCAACGTGCGGACCGAGGACGCGGTGCGGCTCGGGCTGGTGGACTATGCGCAGGACAGCGCGCTCGAGTACTGGGGCGGCCAGGAGGGCAAGTGGGACAAGATTGTGCTCTCGCCGTGCAACGGCGGCCGCCTGCTCTCGTACTACTGCTTCTTCCCCCGCGCGCTCGGCGACTACTCGACGCAGCAGTGGGGTGCTGCCGACAGCAGCCGGCCCGTCGAGGAGCTGCTGGCGCCGTACCCGGAGCTGGACGCCCAGGTCAAGGCGCACCTGGCGATTGGCGTCGAGATTCAGCCGTGGAGGCTCTGGGTGCAGTGAGTTGAGGCCGCAAAGCTGTGGTGGTGCTTGCCGGTCCAAGATGGCTGACGATTTTCTCCGCGGTAGTGATCCGTATCCGTATATTCAAAAAGGCAGAGTCTGTCTGCTTGGTGATGCCGGCCACCCTGTAAGTGAATTCTGTTCTTGGAGTGGGCTTCCGTGGTTGATCGGATTTGCTGACGGTCGCAGATGATGCCTCATCAGAGCCAGGGGGCGTGCATGGCGATTGAAGACGCCGCCGCGCTGGGCATCCTCTTTGACAAGCAGCATTTTCTCGGCGACATCTCCGAGACGCTCGCCGTATACCAAGAGGTCCGTCTACCGCGCGTGACCAGAGTGCAGGCGGCCGCTGCGAAGGCTGCCTACAACATCAACGAGAGAATAGGTAACTACCCCCCCCCAGTCTTGTCGGATTTGGGTTCGTCGCTAACGCTGGGCAGGCTTCTCGGACAATAAAGGCTGCGGCACATACAAGGTCGAGGACGAAAAGAAGAAGCTCACGGTGGAGGAGATGAATGCGTACGACATGTACAAGGACGTCGAGGAGGTGCTGGCCAAGAGACGGGGCACGGTGTTTGGGGAAAGGTTCTGTCGTGGCTTGCCGCTGGGGCTCAAGCTGCCGAATGGCGTGGTCGTGGGTGAGGATATTTGAGGGATCGCTGGTGTTCAAGGCTGTCTGAATTGTTCCTCGAGCTTGTATTAAAATTATACTCTATAAGCATGCTTATTATTCACCTTTTGTTCGTAGTCTTTCGGTTCTACTTGGGCTAGACGTGTCGGTGGTTCATGGTGTGACTACACAAGTCCGGGCACATACTTATCGCGGAGGAATTATTCATCCTCTTGGCCTCTCAAACATGGAGTACAGAAAATGCTCATTTCATTTCAGATATATACACAACTAACGAAAGTTTTATGCAGCAGCAAGCTTGACATTGTACTCCAGATCGTACTCGGCCTTGGGGTTGTCCTTGAGAGGAACAAAGTCGACAGTGAGTCCATCCTTGACAGCAAAGACGCTGTCGTCTGTGAGGTAGTCCGACTTGCTGTCAAAGATCTGCGTCGTCAACGATTTATAGCCGTCTGCGGTTACCTAATCTACAGTGTCAGCCCGTCTACATGCAAACGAAAGCTTGCACTTACAATAAGATGGATATGCGCGGGCCTGTACTCGTGTCGATCGAGTAGCTTCAAGAGCTTGCCGGCCGGGCCATCCATCGGCACCGGGTATGGCGTCGGGCGCAGGCAGTAAAAGGAATATCGTCCCTCCGCGTCGGTGACAAAGACGCCTCGGAGGTTGTGATCAACCTGCTTCTCATCCTGCTGTTCATAAAGACCTATTACCAAAGGATCAGCACCATCCCGGTTCAATACAGCACAGCAGCGTACCGTTGGTCGAGGCCTGCCAGACATCCACCTTTGCCTTTGCCAGCGGCCTTCCCGTGTCGGCGCACGTAATCTGGCCATGCATAAACGTGACCTGGCCGTCGCTCGGGGTATCAAACGTGATTGTCGTGCCGTTTTCGCGCACCGGCGCGTCCGCCCGCCAAAACGGCCCGAGAATGGCCGTCGACGTCGAGGGCTTGCCTGCCTTGTTGGCCGCGCGTACGGTAATGTCATCGACGAGACTTTTTGCAGAGGCAGGGCATGTTAGAAGGCGCACGGGTTGCGAAGAGAAAGAAGGAGGACTTACGACTCGAGCCCGAGCACGTCGCACAGCAGCTGCCCCTCGTTGCGGCGGTCGCTGCTCATCCGGCCCGCCCAGTTGATCATGTCGACGCCGGCCAGCCACTCGTCCATGGTGAGGTCGACGTCGCGCGCAAAGTCGTGGACGTGCTGGATCAGCGCGGCCATGACGGTGCGCATCCGCGGCGTCGCGTTGGGGCCGGTGGCGTCAATGACGGACTGCGTAAAGTCCTGGCCGAGCGGCTTGGTATCGGAAGCCATGGCTGTTGTGATGTCTGGTGTGTTTGAGTCGAGATTTTTCGTGACGTGAAAGTTACAAGAAAATGGGCTTGAAATGGCAGAGGGTTGGATGGATGTGTGAGGGCTCCGGCAAGGAACATATAAGTGCGCTTCCTCGCTTGTCTCACGAGAGGTTGCAGTGCCCCTCCAATCAGCTCATTTTCATTACATTTGGTCCTTCTGCCACGACAAGCCGGGCGCAACATGGCTTGAGAAGGGGCGGGGCCGACTGTCGGCAAGTGCACCGGCGTAGCCTATTGCGGGAGGGCGGATCGCGACCCTCCCCCGCATTTTAGCTCCGGATGTGACCCCACCAGCCCCGCAGACATCCCGCGTATACTCCGCGGTCCGCCCCCGCGGATAGCCAGGAAAAGACCGGTTTGCTTCTTGTGCAGCCGCTGTTATTCTTAAAAAAAAAAAAAAAAGAAAGAGACCTCGCATTGCTATTTACCGTCTATAATCCTGCTCCACGCCAAAGTCCCACGTCGGCGCATCCGCACCATTCGGCCTGCTCGCTCTCTGAAAGCTTATCTCCAGCCCGTCAATCTCCACCACTGGCCGGACCGCCGCCACCTCTGTCCCGTACGCCGCCGCGTACCAGCGGTCCAGGTATTTCGGATTGTCCACGAAGTCCGGAAACGCGTCGCGCATCCACCGCAGCGTCGTGCCCGAGACGTGGTCCACGCTGTGCGCGTGGCGCAGTGCGCGCACCTCGTCGCTGACGGCGCCGCGCAGCGCGTCCTGGACGCCGGCCGGCAGCGCGCCGACCTTGAACAGCAGCAGGTCGTAGTGGAGCAGCGACGCCCGGCCGTGCCAGGAGCCGCCGCGCGTGGCGCGGTGGTAGAGCCCGACGAGCGCGGCGACGGCGCCCGCGCACCCGGTGCCGTAGTCGGACAGCGGGAACGGCGGCACGACGGGCTCGGCGAGCCCGAGAAAGAGGCCTTGCGCCCACGCGATGCCGGTTACCTGGGGTCGCCGCGCAGTGTCAGCGCATAGTATGGATGCGGGTTCGCAGGGAGGAGGATGAGCTGATGATATACGTACGCAGTCGGCAATTTGCTGCCAGCCGGGCCGGTCCGCCCACTCGCCGTGATAGCCAAAGCAGTTTTCGCTCACGTACACGACTCCCTTGCCGCGTTTCGCCGCCCGTGCTGCGAGCTGCCGCGGGCCGTAGCCGAGTTTTTCCAGCGCGCCGGGGCGGTACCCGTCGACGACGACGTCGACGTCGTCGAGCAGCGCCTCGAAGCGGGCCCTGCCGTCCGGGGTTTTGAGATCCAGCTCGGTCGCGTGCTTGCCCATGTTGCCGTCGACCTGAAAAAAGGGCACGTCGCTGAGGTGCGGGCTCGTCACCTTGAGCACGTCGGCGCCGTACTCGCCGAGGATCCGCGTGATGATGGGCCCGGCGATGATGCGGCAGAGCTCGAGCACTTTGATGCCGGACAGGAGGCGGTCGCTTTGTGTTCGGGGTAGGGGGGTCTTGGGGGTTGCTGACTCGAGGCTCTCGACGGACCACGGAGGTAATGCCATGTTGGTTTTGCCCTATGTCCGGGGTCAGCTAAGAAACGATATGATGCTGTGAGTTCTTGGGTGACCTACGTGTGGAGTGTTGATAAAGTCGGCGTGCTTGAACGCCTTTACGCCAGCCTGCCGATTCTCCTTGTTCAAGGCCTCCAATTCGTCGACGGTGAATTTCTCGACAGCTCCTTCAATCACATTGGCGATTTCTTCATGCGTCTTCAGGTCCGGACGGTGAGAAGCCAAGCCAATCATATTGAGCGTCGTCGACGCCTCGAGCGAGCCGTGAATGTGGTAGTACTCGCCGCGCTCCTTTGTCCTGTACAAACTCGCCGACATGCGCCTGTACGGGTCCGACTGCGCTTGCAGCAAATCCGTATCTACCCTCTCATCAGCAAAAGCTCTCCTAGTTATAGCGTAACACACGGTGGGTATGAACCTTTGAGCAGCCCTTTCACCTGCTTGTCCAGCTTGCCCAGGCCGCCCACCCGCGCAAGGTACGCCTGGAACAAAAAGGCCGTTGTCTTCTCCAAATCGACGTGCACGCGGGCGTCGGATGCCGCTACAGCGCTCGCGTCGCTACTACTGCTAGTCTCGGCGAGCAGCGCGGCCACGGTGCCCTCGACCGCCTTGAGGGCGGCCGTGGCTTCCGTCTCCTTGAACGGAATCGGAAAGTAGGGTGCGTCGCGGGCGGCGGTGAAGGAGATTTTGCTCTGCCGACGGGCGACCTCGGGTGGCAGGGAGACGGGGTCCAGGACGCCGACGAGGTACTGGAAGATGCGGGCTGCTTCCTCTTTGGAGGAGTAGTGCTCGGTTGTGGCCATGTTGTCTGCTCTGAGACGTGTACACTAGGTATGTGGTTGTGAATGATGTGTATCGTGAGTTGAATTGGAAATTGGATTTCTGTACACCGGCAATGCATGCCGCGGATAGTATCCGCCCTTTTCCGCCAATGCCGACCTACACCCTTCCCTTCCCCACCCGTCATCGTCATGAGACTCATGAGACTTTAGAGCACCAGCATTCGTGTGGGTGCCCACGGCACGGCGCTACTAGCGGATTCACACAGCTTAGGCCTGACTAACTGCCCAGGCGAAGGTGTGCCGTTGAAGCTGCATTTTGCCCAGTGGAAAGGAACGGCGTTGTAAGATTGAAGCACATTTTTAATTTGGACATGTTTTTTGTTTGAATGTGTTGACCCTGTGCAAGCAGGCAACTTGAAGCTGGCCTCTCATTGGCCAGCGCGTGGGCAGAAGACCCACTTTCGAGGGCTGTGGACCTGTTGATCCCAGCCATCGAGGAAGGCAGCGTTTGTGTTGGAGTTAGTCATAATCAATCATCAGGAACCAAATTGACGTTATTTATTGTTTTGTTATTATTCGAATACACCTTGATTCCAACAGAATGCATGTTGAATTGTGTATCTTGTACGTCTTGGGATTCTGGACATTTCTCGACTCTGTTTCCTTCTTCTTTGTTCCCCTCCGGCATGGCGAGCTGCTCGGGGCAGCCGGCTCGGTGATGGACGGTTTCGCGGTGGCGACCGTTGTACTCTTGTGGCGACCGTTGTACTCTCGTGGCGGCACATACCCGGCCGTCAAAGGCGACCGCGACACGGCCATTTTAGACGCGTAACAACTAGACTCGAGTTAGTAAGGCGGCGAGATAGAAACTTAGGAGCAGATACTGACCGCTATTCTCTGGACGATTTGTGTAGGGATATGGGCACATCTTGCGGCGGCAGTAGCTGCAGCAGCAGCAGAGATGGCCTGTTTGTTGAGCTTCTCTTGGCACTCGGGGCCTTCCAATTCGTTCCCCAAGAGTTCCCAGCAGACACCACGTGGAGGTGGAAGCTCTCGTCTACAAATACTCTGCATGTCACTATGTAGTCTCTACTAATCCGTCTCTTCAAATCCCTTTTTCCACTTCGACTCTTCTGCTCCGTCACATCGGCCACGCCACCCCAAGTCGTGGATCGTACTCCGTCTTGACCTTTTCGCGAATTGAGTCACATAAGCTCTGATGTCTCTTGAACATTTCATGTTCCTCAACAGACAACCGAGGTCGCTTCGTGGCATCTACCCACGCGCTGCTCGGTCCCATCAGGGGCCCCATCTTGGTTTGGTCCCATCCAAACTTGTCCATGTGTCTTGCCGCGTAGTCGGTGCCTGGCGTCATTGCGCGCGTACTCTGCATCACATCTCGGGTAACAGGTCCGTCTGCCTCCTCGCGCTTTTCGAGGGCCATGAGAAACGTGATAGCGACATCGAGAGTCACTTGGACCGCGGATAAGTGCCCTTGTGAATCAGCCGTAACGGCCTGCCTATCGCATTCGGGTACCTGCTCAAGGTCAACCGGTGCGCTTAGGTTGTCCTCCACGCCGGTGCGGATGATTTGGACGGGGATTGTAGAAATGTCCGTCACTTTGACGTTAAAGGAGGAGGTGCGGATCGCTATGGCCACGGCCCGGAAGAGGGGCCGCATATGAAAAAGGCGCTCTCCCGCTACTTCCTCTGGGTAATCTAGGCCCTCTGATTGCGCAAACGCAACCCTATTGCACAGGTTGGTACTCCACATTTTGATATAGTCGACCATTTCCTGCGAGCAGGCTTCCGTGGGCGGCGCCGGTGACCTAGGCACGACGCAGAGCTTGGTGAGGAACTGGCCTCTGTCAATGTGGCTCTCATAAGGGCGGAACCAGCGCTTTTGTGTGTAGAGCAAAAGCTCCCCACAAAAGGTAGCCGAGTCGAGCCACTGCCACCTCTTGAAATCTGGCACGAGGAAGACGGGTGCAGTGCGGTTGCAAGCGCGGTTGGCGATGCTGACATCTAGGTCGGATAGGCTGTCTAGGTCGACTAGCTTCTCGTGGCATATGAACTGCCGCCCCCATGATCCGCTTTCCCACCACAAGCGATCAAAGTGATCTTGTTCTTGTTGAACACGGAGTTTGTGGAGGATGTCTTCTTTCGAGGGTTGATTGGCCTCACCCATGGGCGGGCTGTTGTCCCCATCGCTGTGGCTTTGAAGGCTCATGATGATACTGGGCATCTAGGTCTCAAAGCTGGCAGTCTTGCGGAAACTGTAAAGTTCTGGAAGGAAAATTTTCTTGGCGTAACGCAGATTTGTCTTTAGAATGAGACAATTCAGGGGGCGCGTAAACAAGCACTCGTGTCGTAAGGATGTATGTTGAAGTCGCGAGCCCTTGGAGAATGGCTGTATGGCATGGAAGGACTATAAATATAGGAACAGAAAAGTCAGTCTTTATAAGAATATTTTAAGTTTGACATGTAATTTTTGCTTTTCGTGGCTGCGGAATAGGAAAGTCTATTGTACCTGTCACGCCCGAGAGCTACTAGCCGGACCGACTCAGAATGCTAGACGGACTGTCCACGTAACTACTACTCACTTCCAGAATAGGTTAGTCTATTTCGGTACTTAGCAAATAGCGCTCTGATAAATTTGCTTTTGCTGGTTACGAAAGTAAGAAAGTCTGTTAAAATAGGACTGCCACACTGGGTGACTGCCTACATGGAGCGGGCGCACTACACACGCGACGCACCTATCGTCTGGAAGGGTCAAATATTAAAAAGAAAAATAACGCCTTGCTGAGTATATTTCGAGTTTACACGTAATCTTTCCTTTCGTGGCTGCGATAGTGCGAAAGTATTCATCTGTTATACCTGCCTGCGTGGGACTGTAATAACGAGCCACATGCACTGAGAGAATACTTTATCCAGCGCGGCGACAATACATCTGTGAGTCAAAGCATCTCGAATCAGTTTCTTTGCCTCACGACGGTGGCCGAGTTTTCTAATCAACGAAGTACTAACGCTATAACTCGGCAGACCTAGCTACAAATGCACTACTTTGCTGACGCGACGCGTCATCACGCCCCCATCCACCACAAGACCTCTTCGCGATGCCTCGAAAGGCGAAGGGTTTGGCGAGGGCTGTTTCGGCCGTCGAACTTGCAGCCTAGGAACCAACAGCGGCCCCCAGAGAAAGGAAGCCGCCAGATCAGTTCCACCATCATAATCCTCCCCACGATCCTGCCCTGTATCCCTCCACAGATTCATTGGCTCCATCAGCATTGAATATCCCTATGCCTCAACAAGCAGCCTCCCCGACATTGCCACCTTTGCCGGACCTTGACTTGACATTTTTTCTGCCGATTCGGATTTGGATGGCTGTGTTTGACTGGTGAAGCTTATTTCACTGCATAGAGAATCGCGATATCCCTAAAGATTTAATTTGTTCTCGGTACATAAATAAGTTTTAGCGATAACTTACCTATAGGCTGCCATAGTGGGGTTCACAGAGTGCATTACCCGACAGTGCCACATCCGACGCACCGTCATTTTACAAATAATTCGCTTTGTCATCTACCATACTTGCTGACTACATACATGTTACCCGCCCGCCTGCCATTTCCACACCCGACGTCTAAATCTTGGACGTCCGCTTCTCCGACTCCCTCAGCTGCTTCCGTAGGATCTTGCCGCTGGGGCTCCGCGGCACCGCCTCCACAAACACCAGCCCGCCGCGCAGCTTCTTGTAGTCGGCCACCTTGCCGTGCACGTAACCCAGCAGGTCCTCGGCCGAGACGTCGCCGGCGGCTCTAGCCGCCGGTGTCAGCACGACAAAAGCGCGGGGCGCCTCGGTGTCCCTGTACGGCACGCCGATGACGCCGGCGTCGCCGACGGCGGGGTGCGCTTCGAGGATACCTTCAAGCTCGGCGGGGGCGACCTGCAGGCCCTTGTACTTGATGAGTTCCTACGCCCGAGTTAGTTTAGGTATTCGTGTAGGCTGTTGAGAAGGGGCGAGGGGGGGGGGGGCTTGCCTTTTTGCGGTCAACAATGTGGTAGAGATTGTTCGAGTCAATGCGCATGACGTCGCCGGTGCGCATCCAGCCGTCTTTTGTAAAGGCCTTTTCGTTGGCTTCGGGATTGTTGTGGTAGCCTCGGGTGACGACCGGTCCTTTGATAAGAATCTCGCCTGGCTCGCCTGGGGCCACGTCATTCTCATCATCATCCACCAATCTGTCCACCGTTAGCCAGATATTCCGCAACCACAGCCTCTACCTTTTTTTTAAAAAGAAACGCAAAAATAAGGGGGGGAGAGTACCGGACGGAAAGATTTGGCAACAGCACGCCCAGGCTCCCCGCCTGCTCCTCCGAGTTGACCTCTGTATACGTCGCCGCCCCCGTCGTCTCGCTCATGCCCCAGACCTGGCCGATGACGAGGCCGGGCATCTTCCTGTTGGCCTCGGTGCGCAGCTCGGCGCTCACCGGGGCCGCGCCGACCGTCGCCTGCTTCACGTGGAAGAACTGCTCCTTGACGGCCGGGTGCTTGGCCAGGGCCAGGTAGATGGGCGGCACGGTGAAGAAGGTGTTGACGCGCAGCTGCTGCACGTGCTCGACAAAGGCGGCAAAGTCAAACTTGGGCATCCAGTACGTGGTGGCGCCGGCGACGGCCTGCGCGGCAAAGTAGTTGACGACGCCGGCAATGTGCGCGGCGGGCAGGTGCGCGAGCGTGCGCTTCGGGGACGGCCATGCCGGCTGCCGGTCCCAGTACGCCCTGTCGACGGAGCTGGTGAGGAAGATTTCCGAGACCATGTTGTGGTGCGACACGAGCACGCCTTGTTGTCTCGTTAGCAATCAGTTGACCTTTGTGGCAGCAGTAGACGCTTGTCGCGAGGGTTTTACCTTTCGGCAGCCCTGTAGTCCCCGACGAGTACAAGATGCAAATCGTGCGGCGCGCCAGCTCCTCTGGGTCCGTCACGACCTGCCAGTCCAGACTCCCTGCAAAGTCGCACGCCACCGCGCCGTCCGCGCTGTACAGCTTGATGTCCGGATGCGACTCGAGCACCAGCACATGGCGCTTGCTCAGCCCCGCCTCCGCCGCCGCCCGCACCGCGCCGTCGACGGCGTCCGGACTGCACACAATGACTCTGCCGGGGCCATCGCGCAGCTGGCGCGCCAGGTCCGAGGGCGTGTTCATGGGCGAGCCGGCCGAGTACACGCCACCGGCGGCGATGACGCCGTAAAAGAGACACGGCAGCGCCGACTGCCCCGAGGACACGACCATGACGACGTCATCGCGGCGGCCGTCGACGCCGATGCCGTACTGGTGGCGCAGGAAGTGGGCGAGCTGCTTGGTGAGGATGCGGGTGCGCGCCTTGGTCAGGCCGTTCTGGGGCGAGCGGGCTTCGGCGTGGAGGAGCGTGTCCTCGTTGGAGCGGGAGAAGCTGTGGTCTGTGAAGGACGGGCGAGGGTATACGTTAGCAGGAGAGGTTGGGTTGGGTTCGGAGCGGCGCACCAAAGATGAAGGTCAACAAGTCGACGTTGGGTATGTCGAGCGACTGCTGGCTGCTGTAAATCATGGTTTCTGCTGTATGTATTGAGACTTTGAGGATAGAAACGGAATAAAAGACGCAATTAGAATACGGACACAGGGTCGCTATTTGGGGCTATTCAACGGCGTGGAGAGATGGGGCAGCCGAGGTATCGTATTGTAATAGCCTACCTGATCCTACCTAAATAAAGAGACCAATGCTCTGGTGGCTTTTTACCCCAGGATCTTTCACGATAAGTGGGCTGACTCCCCCGCACGAGCACAAAGATCGTACGGAGTTTTCGTACGGAGAATTCTACTGAGTGCTCGGCTATTAACTAGGCTTAGTAACCCGGTCGGAGCTACAAGTGACAAAAACCCCTGCTTACAGCGGTATTCGAAAAATAGAGCAATCCGCGCCAGCAATTGGTAGTTGCAGCTTACCACTAGACCATTTCTGTAGGGTGGTGGAAGATGAGTGGCGGTACCCTACAGTGTCTAGGTGGCTCCTCCCCAGGCTCTGTCGCAGTACAAAAAATGGCCCGCCGACTTATAATTATAAGCGTATGATATGCCGCAAAAAGGATTTCTCAAGATGTTTATACATGGCCGTGCTGTGATGTCATGTCACGGATGCTAGGTAAGTTGATAGGCTTCTAACGATAGCTAGCAATAGTATAGAGCTGGAATTAGTGCTGCCCTCAAATTGTGGGTATAAATTCATGTCAAATCCGGACCCATGATTTTGTTAACATTGAATTGATATTTCTTTGTATAATTAATACCATGATAGCTTACGGTAGGAGATAAAAAGTGTGCTCTGCAGGTTACTTGCATTGTTGGGACTGGTCTCCGCCCTATTATTAAGCTGACACACCCAAAGCTTACCTACGTAATCGTAGCTATTCTTTCTCGCCTCAGCATCTTCCAGCAACCTACCACTCGACTTCTTCCACAGTGCCCGCCCCTACTGTAACCCCGTCATGGAAACAACAAAACGCAAGAGCAAGGTGTTCCCCGTAACCACCTTTATCCATGACTTGCCCGCGTCTCTAGTCCCTCAGCCCTCTTTGCAGCCGTCGTCAAACGGTTCACGCAGCGCCGCTAAACGTCTCATATTCGTGGGCGATGTGCACGGCATGCGGGAGCCTCTCGTAAGATTACTTGATTCGATCAAATTCGACCGGAAAATGGGTGATCATCTCGTTTTCGTCGGTGACATGGTCAACAAGGGCAACGACAGCCCGGGCGTGATCGATCTGGCCATGGAGCTTGGCGCTAGTGCGGTGCGCGGGAATCACGACAATGCAGTTCTCGACGCCGCTGGCGCAAGGAGATATAGGAGCGGCGAGTGGCTTTCTGAAGCTGCTACTCGAGCTGACGACCCTGTGGAAGCTTCCCCGCGGACTCCATCATCTGTCGCTTGCGAGCAGGTAGCCGGCAACGCTGCGGAATCGGCCCCTCACAGTGATACGACCATCAAGACTGCGGCCGCGCTCTCTGCTAGGCAGCTACAATGGCTCAGTTCATTGCCTTTGATACTACGAATCGATCTGCGGGCAGAACGCAACTCATCTCTAGCCAGGATTGTTGTCGTGCACGCTGGCCTTGTCCCCGGAGTACCTCTGGACCAGCAAGACCCTCACGCAATGATGCACATGCGCAGCCTCGTCGTAGAAAATGGTGTGTTCGCCGCCGCCGAAGACGAGGGTGAAGAGGGTTGGGCGGCTGTCTGGGAACGCGCCCAAGAGGACCTCGAACAGCAGCAGAGAACTATGGTCGTGTTTGGACACGACGCGAGGCGAGGACTCCAAGCGCGAAAATACTCCGTCGGGCTTGACTCGGGGTCAGTGTATGGGAACCAACTGAGCGCACTGATTTTGAGCTGCACAGAAAATGGCTTTGTGCAAAATGTTGCCCAAGTCGAGACTGTTCAATCTGTGTCGACTACGTCTCATGATACATCTAAAAGCCTTTCAAGCATATGAGCCACAGAACCCAACCCAATTTCTGACAACATTCTCAGACTCGGTCGAGTCTACGCCCACGGAGCCACAAAATCCTGAAGGGCTTGGTGACCCTCGCTAACCCACGCGGCCAACTTCCCTGGGTTCCTCGGTATGACACGGATGCCGGTAGCACACGGAACAGCCTGTCCATCACAAGCAGAGACCTGATCGTGGATGGCGTGCATCTCTCGAGAGCTCTGTCGAAATGCTCGAAACGAAGGAAACACATCCCGCAGACCGTCCTCGCCAAGCTCGACCCGCTCAAACTTGAAGAAGTGCAAGGCTAAAGACAGAATCCCGTAGAACGATTTATTTACATCTGCGATAGTTAGCAGCCCGTCTGCTCACGGCACAAGACTTGCGCAGGACCAAGGGTTGACTTGAAAAAAACATACTCGGAACACCAAGGCAGAGTCGTCTGCCAGCTCCATGGCCCATGTGCGGGACGCCAATCTTGTCACCTACGATGCCTTCGACGTCGGTTCGGCCTTGGCGGCCATTCATCCATCGCTCTGGTAGAAACATGTCCGGAGAGTCGTACGCAGCCGGATCCCGGTTAATCTGGAACGAGTTGTACACCACGATGGTGCCCTTCGGGACGAAGTACTCGTCAATGCTGGAGTCGCTGTTCGTCTCGCGCAAGAAACCCAGGCGGATAGCCGTCCAGTAGCGGCCTGCCTCGAGGGCCATGGCCTTGAGATACTCGACACGGTCCGTGTCGTGCGGGTCGGGCACCTCACCACTGTACACTTCCTGGATGGCGCTGAACGCCACGTCCTGGAGTGCTGGGTGCGAAGCTAGGTAGCCCACCAACCAGGTCAGCGTGGTGCCGATGGCCATGCCCGAACCGGACAGGGTGGTGATGAGCTGGAACTGGTCATGATCGGACAGCGGCTCCGGGAGGGCCCGAAAGAGGTCGCCGAGCTGCGACGGCGTCGTGTCGCCATTACCGACGCGCCTGGTCAGCGACCCGAGCTGCGCCCTACAGTACTTGGTCTGGTTGCGCCGCAGTACGTCGCACTTTTCCTCGTTGGCGTTGCGGAGCAGTCGAGGGATGGGAAGACCGGCGCGGTTGACGACGTATCGCAGCCCGGAAGTGAGCTTGCCGACCAGAGCCTGGGAAACTCGGATGAGCGGAACCCAGTCGCCGAGGGGGTCGCCGAGTGCTCTCAGCTTGAAAACTCCAATCTCCGTGTCGCAAATGAGCCTGACAAAGTCGTCATCGTGTCCATGGCCGACCAGTTGATCCGTCACGAGGCCGATCGCTGTGGACCACCAGCAGTAGCCCAGATCTTTGGGGTCTGTTTCGGCCTCGGCCAGGAGTTTGACCAGGCGGAGGTAGCGTCTCGACACATAGTGGTTATACCTTGTCCAATGATGAGCGAGACTAACGTCTTCTTTCGCCACGTAGGATTCGGGCTTACTTGGGGAGTTTCTGTGCACCTGTTTGAGGACCAAGGAGCTTTCTGAGTTTTGATACACCCGCTGTCCATCTGGCTGCTGGGAGAATATTAGTAACAGCCGCATGGAGGTGTACAAGGCTTGCCAAACCGCACTTACTGCCGATGGTAGCCACTCCGCCAGTGCCAGCACCGTGGACAAAGGTTTCGTGCCAGAGATCCCACTCGGGTCGGGTCTGATAGCTCGCTCCCTGCTTGACCAAGGTTTTGGCAACCGCTTCGCGAGAGTTGAGAACGACCTGCAGAAACATACAGAACGAGAGATTAAACAAGGAAACAAAACAACGCCTGCCGCCACCTCGATGGAGAGGAATATACGTACAACCTCCTTACTGCCAAGAACTACGCGGAAGACGCCACCGTATTGCATGGTCCACGACTTGAACATCTCTGCATGGCCCTTGCGCAACTTGGACTACTCATCAGACAGAGCTTCACCCACCAGGGAGAGCAAAAGAACGGGATAAGAAGCGCTGCGACTTACGTCGAAGAGACTTCCGAAGAGTGGCAACCCATGCGGCCCGGGGATCTTGAGGCGGGATTTGGAACCAACCACGGACGACCAGAGCAGTCCAGTGGCCAGGAACAAGACGAAGAGGATTAAAGTCGCATATTTGACGTTTGAGGACCGAATTGGACTCTCCAAAAGCGTTTGGTCTGACGACATCGGCAATGTCTCCTTCATACTGGCAAGTGATGGACATTGATTTAATGCAGCGTTGAAATACTTCAACTCCGGCACACAACACGATGGCAACGACAACTTGTATCTCTACCAGCAACAACCAAAATCCTGCCAATTAGTAAAAAATGTGGAATTTATCATGGCCAACTTGTTCGAGGCTTCAAGCCGGCAATAATCGACATGCAGCCGGAAGGGGCTGTCATCATTCACGGCCGAGCTGCTGCGATGCTGCATTCCCCTCCACAAAATGTACCACATGTACGGCATGATAAAGCACCGCGCACTTGTGTGGGTGCCCACTCGTTCCAGACCCCGTTCAATCGCCCGCCAGCTGTATATTGGTTCATGCAATACAAGACGCGTGATATCGTGGAATCCGCCGAGCCTTACATGTGAAGGCTGCGTCCAGCGTCGCTGCTTGACATCGAGTCTCTTTGACGGGCTGCGATCTCGGCCGTAGTTTGCCGTTTCAATAAGGATGGGAATCCTTGCAAACGACGAAACCGCAGCCCTTTACCCCGCACCGCATATCCATTGTGCTGCAGATCAATACAATGACATGTTGGGCATGTTCTCAGATGTTGCCATGTGCTTGTGGACCGCGGTCGTTGACGTTGTCGGAGTCGCATTGGGCCCCTCTTCTGCCTATCTTCCTTGGACGCGCTCTATCGATGATACTCATGAGACACTTTGCTCGTCGTATTCGATTCATCCAAGGCCGGACTCGGGCTGCGCAAACTGGGCTGCAGCTCGCAGGAAGAGCGGCCAGCAGCACCTTTCTTTGTTTTACGTTTACAATCACCGACATCCTTTCTTACCGGCATGATGTGGGGGATATTGGCCGCCTCGATGTTGATTAAATGTGGTAACGGCCGAGAGATGCGTCAGGCGGGCCAATATTCACGGAATACGGAAGCCACAGCCTTATTTTCCACAAGGGAGGATGCCTCGGTAGAGTTATTCCCAGGGTACATCCTGATAGTAGCTGTGGTTGTTCTCAATCATATCAAGTAGATGTCGATGGTGCGCATCCATGTTCCTCTGTTTCTCTGTGTTTCGCAACGGTGGCTACTCTGCTCTTCACTTCGTCACCACACTACAAGTTTTCTCACTATTTGTTATCTTCCACTCTTTCCACCGTCTTCACACCCCCTCTGTCACATATGGCACACCCGCCGCCCGCCGCGGACTGCCGTCCGAGCCCATCCGCCACCACGCAACAACAAGCCCCGTCCGCCTCCCCAGCCTCGCGAGGCACCAAGCCGGACCTGGCCAGCATCCTCTCCGTGCACGACTTTGAGTCCGTCGCCTCGCAATCCTTCTCCCCGCAGACATGGGCCTTTGTGTCCTCGGCCGCAACGGACCTGCACACCAAGGCTCGCAACGCGGCGACCTACGCCCGCATCACCCTCCGACCGCGGATCCTTCGTGACGTGTCCGTCGTCGACACCGCCACATCCCTTTTAGGGTACAAGCTCCACGTGCCGCTCTTTGCGAGCCCCACGGCGCTTGCCGGCCTGGTTCACCCAGACGGCGAAAAGGCCATTGGCTGCGCCGTCAAGGCCGCGGGCATGGCGCAGTGCGTGTCCATGAGCGCCTCGTATCCTCTCCAGGACATTATCGAGGAGATCCGGCGCCACCCTATGGAAACAGGCCACGAAACGCCCGTCTTTGTCCAATTCTTCGTCAACAAGGATCGCGCCGTCACCAGGCGGCTGCTGCAAGAAGCAAAGCGCCTCGGCGTCTCCGCGCTGTTCCTCACCGTAGACGCCGCCCACGCCGGGAAGCGAGAAGCCGACGAGCGCATCCGAATCGTCGGAGACGGCTTCTCGTCGCCGTCCACCGGTGTCGCCGCCACCAGAGATGCCGGGCTGGGCCGCGCGCTCGGCAGCGTCATCGACAACTCCATTACCTGGGACGACGTGCGGTGGATCAGGGAGCACGCTTCGGGTATGAAGCTCGTGCTCAAGGGCGTGCAGACACCCGAAGACGCCGTACTGGCTGTGGAGGCAGGGCTGGACGGCATCGTCGTGTCCAACCACGGCGGGCGGACGCTCGACACCGCACCGGCCACCATTCTCGTGCTGCTCGAGCTGCGCAAACGCTGTCCGCAGGTCTTTGCAGCGCTCGACGTCATGGTGGACGGGGGCGTCACGAGGGGCACCGACGTCTTCAAGGCGCTGTGTCTCGGGGCCAAGGCCGTGGGACTCGGCCGCGCGACGCTGTACGGCCTCGGCTATGGGTACGAGGGGGCGCTCAAGGTGTTTGAGAGTAAGTAAATGGCAGAGTTGGTTTGGAAAAGGAAAGAAAAAGAAGACTTGCTGACGATTGGTTTCTTGCAGTTTTACAGGATGAACTAGAGGCCACGATGAAGCTGTGCGGCGTGACAAGGATCAGCCAGCTACATGCGGGATACGTCAACACCCTAGACGTGGACCATCTAATTTGACAGTTTGTTCAGATCAGTCTTGGTAGTTGAAGAAGTTTTACTTGTGATAATTCGTGCGACTATACGTGATTTTTCGTCTTTGCGTTTTCCTTTCTATGGTGGAGGTTTGTATCGCCGCATCTGAGAGGGTGTTGTGTATATCGACATTCACTCCTTCAACCCACACTCGCTCGCAGATGCCTGTCACAGTGCCAAATAAGAGTTCAGGGGAAGTGCCAAAACTTTTGTTGGTCTTGAATTTTGGAGCCTTGATGCAATTTTCGTTTTTCTTTTTCTTTCCTTTTTTTTAAAAAAAATTGCGTTGCGTCTCAAGTGAGACATCTGGTTCGGACGCGATGGAACATGTTTCCGTGAGCTCGTTTTCGACTGCAGATTCAGCTTCATCATCTTCCAGTCCCAATTGAGTGCACATGGCAAATCGAGAGACAAGAAGTTTTGGGGGATCGGGTAGCGCAAGGTCTCCTTTTGCTAGTAGTTCTTAAAAGTCGCTACCTTATCGAGACCGATACTCTAAATCTATGCTACCACGGTGTAATACGTCACCGTGACGATCATCTGAACTGCGGGACCTAGTCCTCCCACGAGAGAGCATTCTCCTCGAGAAACACCCACCAATTCTCTTACCCTGTACGAAAATACCATCATCATCATGCCTCTCCTTCTACGCGCCACGGCACGCCTTCACCCGAGGCTGCTCGTTTCCCGCATGCACACGACCGCACCCGCCAGCGCACCGCGCAAACCAGACACAGACTCTCCGCCGCCGCAAACCTCTGACACGGCACAATCCCGGCCCGACCCCGAAGAAGAAGCGGCGCGTCTCGACAAGACGGCCTACACGCCCGGCGGCGATACCGGGCCCGAGGCCGCGCGCCACCGGGCGCAGCGCGAAACCAGCGGCGCCGACGACCCGCTCGAGTTCACCGGCGCGAACCACGAGCTGAGCAAGCCGAGAGGCGACGAGGGATCGCGGCGCGATGCAGCGCCGGGAAAGGACGGCAGGCGGTCGAGCGGTGGAAAGCCTTCACGGAACGGCAAGCCGTGATGCCGGGATGGAAGGTGTAGTAGATGCGGGCCAGCGCTGACGTTGCATATGCTTTGCAGTTCGCTATAATAACTCAATGCAGAACAGTTATAAAGAGATTGCGTGCTACTTTAAACTGCTTTTCCGCTTGTGTGCTATTACCATCTAGCCGCGCGTCGTTGATGGCTCTGCGCTATCTCTAAACAGCCCCCTTTGACCATCTCGCTGACATGTCCAGAAAGTTTCCCGACGAGACCATCTCGCCCAACCTTTACCGCGCAGCCGACTTGTAGCCAGAATTCACAATGTAGCAATGAGTGTCTATCATCGAAGAGTAGGAAATATGCATCGTTTGTACAGATAGAACGCAGGGAGTCCGTCTCTTATGTGTGAGCTTTTTTACGAAGGCGATCTAATGATAGGCATCAAACCATCAATAATATAGCCGCGGCGACGAGGTTACTGATCTCCAACTAGCAGACGCTACCTTCTTAGTAAATAATAGCGCACACCCTCACACAATCCGCGCTACGACAGTTGCCTACAACTGTTCATCTTCCGTAGTATAGTGGTCAGTATGCAAGCTTGTCACGCTTGAGACCCGGGTTCAATTCCCGGCGGGAGAGATCCGCCAACCTCCATAGAAGGTTTCTTTTTGCTATGATTTTTGCACTTCTTTTTACCCGTTTATTATCAACACGTTTAACCATTGCTTTGTATTTTTTTTTCGCGGTAATAATCACTACCCAAGCGTTGTTCACAGCCGGATTGCGCTACTTGTGCCGCAGCCGAGTAAGAAACAAAAAGAAACGGAATAAGAACATGGTATAATTGTGAACAGAGGCTAATAGTGTACATGCTAAATAAAAACGCGATGCAAATATCTCAAACACCCTTCGCCATCCACTCCTTTCGCAATGCCGCCTCCCAGTCACCGAAAAAGTGTATGTCCGTACCCTGCAAAATCTCACCCGTGTGTAGTGTGCGGTTCAGTGGCGGCACAACAAACCATTCGTGGTCGCTGCGACAGACGACCTTGCTGAGGTTGTCGCTTGTTTCGTTTCCGGACACTTTGATTACACTCTTAATGCAGCGCATGCAGAAACACTCCATACAGTACAGGCAGATGGAAAAGTCATCGCTGCTTGGGATGTTATGCAGACACTGAGCACAGCTCCGGTCAGATAACTGAATATCCGGCAGTTTGGGCTCCAGTCTTTGTAAAATAGGAGATTCGCTCTGTGTAGTCACCATGGACGCATTGGGATTGACGCGGCGCATCGATTGGCCCAAAGCCACGGCTCTGTTGACATCCCCGGCTGCAGTCATAAGCCAGAGCAGGTTGTCCAAGGCATAGACATCGTTCTCGGGCTCTGAATCAGCAAGTAGATCCAGACTTTCCAGAACCAAGGGCTTCAGTAATTTTTGCGCGGCTTTTGTATTTCCTATAAGGCGCTGATGAAGCCCAAGGTAGATTGCGGCCATGTTAATATCGGAGCCCCGGACATTCATGGGTGTGTCTGTGCTTTGGTGCAGATCTTGCTGGCAGCGCACTTCTTCCAGTTGCGCAACGAATCCTGCAGAGGCAGCCGAGTGTATCCCCGCGTGCAAGAGTTGCCTCTTGTACAAAGCCGCCAGACGTTGAAAGGAGATGGCGTGCGCTTGCCGAATTGTAATGGTTCCTCTCGGGCGGTACTCGACAAGAGAAATCGTTTCAAACATTTCTGTAGCGCGGTCTATTAAATGGCCGTATGTGCACACAGCTCCATAGGCAAGACGCAAGTACAACAAGATGACTGGATCGCGCAGGTCGTGCGCAGTCTCCATCGACATTCGCAAAAGTTCCAGCAGGCTTTCCGTCTTTCCTGTTGTGCCAGCGGCTTTTGGAATCCAGTCGAGAACCAGGCGCTTGTTGGCCTGCGCAAAGAACATTTCCACCAAGCGACAGTCGCCCTTTGTCTTCTTGGCGATTTGCAGAGACAGCTGCTCCACGAGCTGCATCATTTCTGGGTGCATGTTCTCATTGTAAAGAGTTTCCAAGTAACCGATTTCCGATTGAAACTGTTCCGACGGGTTGAGCTTAACAGCCGTGGCAGTTTCAATGGCTTTGAGGTAGTATTTCAGAGACTCGTCGACTTGGAATGTGTGATAGTAGCATTGTGCTATGAGATAGTAGTCCTTGTACAGCCTCCATTTGCTGCGTTGACTTGCATCTGCGGTGAATGTACCATCAACAGCTGCTTTCTCTTCGAGGACCACGCATTCCAGCGCCATGTCGAGAGCTTCACTGTAACGTCCATCTTTGGACAGGCAATAGGCGATTCTTCCGTATGTGAATAATTTGTTGTTGTCCATCTCCAGTGCTTTGTTATAATGCGCGAGGGCGTCGTCATGTCTTCCCAGGGTCAAGTACGTGCTTCCAATTCTTCTGTGCCACACTCCTGTTTCGGGATAACCGGCCCACGCGGACGCTTTTGCAATTCTGTCATCGAGGGAACTTTCGAGCCAGTGCTCATCTGTTCCGGAACTCTTGTCGCCAGAGGACATGAGCGCGGCGCTCTGTACAATGTCGAAGCAAAAGACGGTCGGAATGTAGCCTTCGAAATCTGCACACAACCAAGCTTCCGCATATCGACGGCCAATAGGCTCGGTAATCTTGGACGGATCTTTTGCCAGTGACAAGGCAAATTCTTTCGCGGGGCCAGCCAAACACGCGACGACATCGGGGTCGACAAACCAGCGCAATATATCGGTGAAGTTTTGCTCATTCAAAACCTCCAGACCTTCGTTATTCTTCAGGTAGAGAAGAGTCCATGAGTCAATGGTCGCTTCATCTAGAAGCATGGCGACAATTTGCGGCCCCAGTTCCTTCTTGTCGCTGATACTGACGGCACTTGGGTCCAACGCGGCGAGGTGCTCTTGCCAGTACCATGCAGCATACTGCTTTATGGCGGCTTTTCCTGGGCCGAGATTGAACCCTTCAAACCATTTGGTATTGGAGAATATTCGCAAACACGTTTTCACAATGTGCAGCCGTGCTTCCACATTGTTGAAAGTGATGGCTGATTCGAAGGGGGCATTGGCAATATTTGTCGAAAAGTTTCTGAAAAATTCGCGAACCGTACTATGGAAGAAGCTCACAGAAGTAGTAGACTTCTTGGATCGGTATTCCATTTCACTGGAAGTAACAGCCAAGTCAATGCTCCGCGTGGGGCTGTGTGGAGAGCTCGTGCCCGAGGACATGCTTAACCGGCGCATCGCTTCGGCATGACCTTTCGGGCTCAGAGCAGTTCCGATCCCGATGGCTTCGCTCAGGCTGGGACGTCTATCGGAACTAGACCTAGATGCCGGGCTAGCGTCCCTCCTGGCAATACGCTGCTTTCGCTCAAAGTCTTTGATGAGGTCGTCGGTTGTAAGTCCATCTTCTCTTTCCAGCTCAAAGAAGCAGCCGTATTGACCTCGTAGGGTCTCTTCGAGGCGGAATGGCGGGTCCCCAAATTGTAAGATGAGAACGGCTTCAAGTTGCTCCAACGACAAGGCCTCCTCTGCACAGACGATCCAACGCAGCATTTCGTTGAGATCTTCCGCTTCCTCCTGGGAAATTGCTTCGGAGAGACTCTCAAGCGTTCGCAATAGCATGCCGTCGATCTCTTTGGGAAACGTTTCCAGACTCTTCTGGATGGATCTTGGGTGGCGCTTGCGATTTACCTCGGCGAGCATGAACTTTGCGAGAATGAAAAGGCCGTCTACCTGTAGTTCCATTGTCAGAATGACCTCGTCTCTGAAGGCGGCAGAGGTGCGGGCCAATATTCGAGATTGCGCCACTCCATTGGCAATATATGCAGCAACGTCGCGGGCGCTTCGATCTGTAGTGATCTGTATTGTGCTGAAAACATTGCCAGTTCCCTGGGGGTCCAACTTGTTCGCGACATTTTCCGTCATGTATGATCGCCCTATAAGAGCGACTCGAATGTTTGAATCCGGTTCGTCATCCATGTTCTCAGCAGGTGCGAGCTGAAACAATAGCTGATCGATCTCTTCGTGATACGCTTCGTCGATTCCGTCTAGGAAAATATATGTCGGCGTGGTTCGTTCTGGGTTTTGAAGAGGCTGTACAAGCAAGCGACGAAAGGCGCTCGCTACAGTTTTGATCTCATCGGAGCTCTGCAGGCTGCTCATCAGAGCCTTGGCATAGGATGCATCGCATTCACTCATTTGATAGGCAACATCTCGAATTGCCTGTATAACGGATTTGGTCTCGGGATTGTTCTCTCGGAAGAAGAAGTAGGCCATATTTCCCAGGCTCTCGATGCCCCATGAAATGAGGCGTGCTGTGAGGAACGACTTTCCAGTTCCTGAGAAAGGTTAGCAGCTGGCACTGGTACGGACATGACACGGGTGGATGAATTACCTGGACTTCCGCAGATCCAGAGGTACTGTTTCTCGCCCTTGATCCAAGATTGTAGTGTTTCATCGTTGAGAATCCAGTCGCCGGTACCTACGACCCTGGATTTTGTAAAGGCCGAATAGAAGTCCTCGGCAAATGGCGACGGCTCCAACACAGCTTTGAGCTTGTCTCTTTGGATGAGGTCAATTTGACCAAGATGGTCGAGCCGGAGGTTCCGAACGTTTTCATTGACAAGATTGACGAGGTTCTCTACCCTCTCGGTTGTGTCATGGAGCTGTGAGACACCACTATAGGTTTCGGCCAGGACCAATTTCTCTTCCCCAGCAGTAAGAGACTGCAATTTTTCCAAGGCTTCCTTGATAGGGCTGCCCATACCAAAAAGTCGCTTGAAGTAGGCCTTGAATCTGCCACGACGAACTTCTTGCGTGGAAATAACCAACACCTGGAACAAGGTGGCCAGGATGCTTGTCAGTTTTTCTTTGAGCGACGCAGACAGTTTGTGCTGAATGTAGATGTTTAAACGGGAAGTAAAATCCTGTACGGAGTTGTGTATTAGCATGGTTTGTAACGGAGAGGTGGAAAGGCTTGGGGGGACGCACCTGTAGTTGCTCAAACAGTTCAATGATGCCATCGTACATGGCACTGGTATCTTTTGCGGCCTTGATGAGATAGACGACGGCGCTAAATATGTTTTGGGCTGGGGGGAAGACCTCTTCGGCAGCCCCAGCAACTATCTCTCCAATGACCTCGATGGGCTTCATGGCCGCGGCCATGGCACCAAAGACGGCATGCCGTTTGGCGCGAAACTCTGCAAACTGGGCATTTTGAAGCTCGACTTGCTTGATGAGCTCGTCGACAGTCTTGATTTTGGGCGTGAGGTAGTCGTCGAGCTGTATATTAGTTTTTGAGGACTCCGAGTATCGTTTGGCAGCGTCTGTGGCAATGGCCACGAACCGGGCGTCCATGATTTCGCCAAGACAATTGTAGACGGAGGGAGCAGTGGTGTGGTTGAGTTTGGGAGTGGCGCGACGCTACGATCGCGGGGGGTTCAAATCTCTTTATGAGTCTCTTCCCGGACCCTTCCACAGGCTCTGAAGAGTGGCGGGGGGTTGTCAGAGGGCAGATTGCATCGAGGCGGGCTCAAGTCAGGTGCGGAGCTTCAATGGCCGGTCATCTGGGGCGCAGCCCTGCCGGCCGAGGCTTCTGACAGGGGCAAGAGCGAGGGGCGATCAGGCAGCGAGATGTGCAGGCGCAGACTGACGCAAAATGGTAATAGGACGGCGACGTATTATTTGATTGGGAATGAAGTGGTGTCGCTGGCACATTTTTGGGATTTTTGGCGGGTGCGCCACGTCACAGATGGCGGCAAGGCTGCTGGCCTCTGGCACTCGCTGTGTTGCCACAGTCGAGTCTCATGTGTGCCTGCAGCCTCAAGCCACAGGGCGTATTCATCAGGGCGAGTAAATCTAGTGGACGCCATTCCCGCTGCCAACTGAATCTGCGAATATTACTTGGTATGAAGTGCCGAAATAGTGGGTGGGCGGCGGTCCCCTCAAAGCATCGCCGCGGGCCGTGCCACACTTGGCGCACCAGGTCTTCGAGAGGCAGCATTCGCCATCGCCTCTCGCCTCGCGAGGCACAAATGTCCAAATACCTAATTAATGCTCGCGCCTTGGGGAATGTGAGTTGGTACGTCATTTCTGTCATGGCGCGTCCTTGTCCGGATGACTGCGTTTGGTGTCATCATTGGCCTTGTTCAGCGTTGCAGTGCGGCGGTGCTGTTTTTAACGCCTGACCGTTTTCGTGACGGTCCTTGGCCACTTGGCCCCCGCAGCCTTACCACGTCGCATTATCCAGCAGTCACAATTGTGCCTTGTAGCACTAGACCTGCGTACTTGGCCACTGTGCATCCATAGAAGCCACATTTTCTGTCGGCTACATTTATATTCTACTCGCCCGTGCAGCTCGAATCCAAGAAATATACGATTAGCTCAAACGAACCGGATTACTACATACCTACATAGGTAGTTAGCGTTACCATAAGCCGCCTTCTGCTCTCTGGTACTTTTTGCAACGTGCTTTGGCAGACTTTTGTGTACAGAATAGGATTTTCTATATTGCAATATGCACGTATGTTGGTATTTGGTAGGAAAAACGACTATATTCAAGGCTCCGTTGGATATCCCCAAACACCCTCCCGGGAGGTGTACCAAGCATTTGCATCTCGGCCTCGCGTCAATGTCCCCCGCTCGGCCCCGACGCCAAGAAAAAGAAGAGTAGCATAAAAACTTAATAGTTGTAAGAACTTGACTATATTCCGTAAATGGCTTACTGCTTTACAATAGCTAAGCTTCGCTTGTCGTGTGTGACTTTTGTCAACGCCAACCAAAGTGCCAAACAGGGATTTGGGGCATCCTGCTCACCATGTTTTTTTTTCGTATAAATTCGCCCCTCAAGTATGCACACAGTTTTGCTCATCGAACCTCGCCCGCCCCCGAAATGAGCCAACAACGGCTTGGCGAGCGTTGACTTTGAGCGGCAAATTTTCAACTATACATGCACCAGGCTTTCGGTCCTACTTCTCCGTACATGCAGCCTCTTGATGGATCTACGCCAAACGCAAAACTTTCAATTCCTGCCGATCCTGGTCGAATACTGCAAGTGAAGGCGTGGCAGAGACCCGTCTGGGAAAAGCGCTCGAGGTTTGATTGATAACGGCCACGGGTATCCCGCCGGGCACTCGCGCCTTTACCCAACACCTGTGCTCTTGGCCTGTCTCATTCTCCGCCGCAATTATGCCTGGTTCAAAACAAGGAAATTTTCATACCAAATCAACTATCTGCCAGGTAATAGAGTTGCGCTCCTTTTTTTTTACCTCTTCATGTGCAGCACGTCGCAGGTGGATGCACATTCGAACCAACCCATTTGCGCTATGGGCGGGCCGATGAAGCCGTTTTAAAGATGCGGTTGTTCCCCCAAACTCGGCGCTCTATCCCGCAACCTTGACCACACACATTCACACATCCGATTCCTACATATACATCTCGCGCCCCCAAATCACCACCAAAAGCAGCCATGTCCACCGACACCCCAGCCCAGCCGCCGCCGCCGCCGGTCAAGTACGCCGTGGCGCTCTTTCCCGGGTTCCAGCTGCTCGACGTCGCCGGGCCGCTCGACGTGCTCGCCGTGCTGGCGGCGGCGCAGCAGAGCCCCGTCGAGGTCGCCGTGCTCGCCGCCACGCTCGCGCCCGTGTCCTCGCGCACCGCGCGGCCCGGCTCCGTCGGCCAGGCCATTGTGCCCACGCACACCTTTGACGCGCCCCCCGCCGACGTCGAGGTGCTGCTGGTCCCCGGCGGCGGCGGCACGCGCGACGTCCACGCCACCCAGGACCTGGTCGACTACGTCGAAAAGGTCTTTCCGAAACTGCGGTACTTTTTGAGCGTGTGCACCGGCGCGGCGCTGGCCGCCCGCGCCGGTGTCCTGGACGGACGGAGGGCCACGACGAATAAGCTGGCGTTTGACTGGGTGCGTATTACTCTCTTATTTTCTTGTTGCAATGAGGACAGCTGGCAGTGTTTTGGCAAACTGACAAGTCTGGCACAGGTCGCGTCGCAGAATCCAAAGGTCCACTGGGTCCGTCATGCCCGCTGGGTGACTGACGGCAATGTGTGGACGTCGTCGGGGATATCGGCTGGCATTGACATGACGTTTGGCTTCGTCGCGGCGCAGTACGGCGAGGACGTCGCGGCTACGGTCGCGCACAGACAAGAGTACATCCGCAACACGGATCCGAACAATGATCCCTTTGCGCCGGACTCACCGCAGAAACAATAGAATAGAATTCTCTCAGTGGCAGTGCGCAGATCCGAGATGGCTTCATTTCCTCCTACATAGTCAATCAACCCATAGACGGCCAGCAACAGCACCAGTACCGTGTCCCATTACACCAAATGCCAACTCAACTTTTACATCTCGTCACATGGCCCGAGTATCATCCCCCCTAACCAAACATGATTGGCCCAACAGGCTTCCCAACCAAGTCCAACAGCGCATCCAGTATAACCCCCGGCAACACCTTTACCGTCGACATATCCAGCAGCGACGAGATGGTCGTCTCCTTGGAGCACCCAGGCCTGACCGCGCCGCCCTCCATGACGTGCTTCAGCCACGCCAGCGCCCTTGGCGCGCCCGTCCACGCCGCGCTCGCATGCTCCGACGCCTCGTCGCGCACATACTCGACCGTGGCGCCGGCGGCGCAGTACCTGTCATACACGGCATCCGTGTCCGCCACGGGGCTCACCTCGTCGTGCGTCGACTTGTACCAGTACAGCGGGATGCGCGGCACGGCCTGGCCGAGCGCAATCTCGTCGAGGATGCGCACCACGACGGGGTCGGTGCGGTAGAACCCCGGATCCGTAAACATGCCCAGCACGTCCTGGTAGAAGAACTCGCTGGCGTCGGCGAGCAGGCACTGGCGCCGCGTCTGCGCAAACGCCGCGCGGTGCGCCGGCCGCAGGTACCGGTCCACGACCGCCGCCAGCGCCGGGTACTGCCGCACCAGGCCCTGCACGCCCGCGGGCAGCAGCCCGGCAAACGGCCCGCGGTTGGTCGTCGCGATGACGTTGGTGATGTTGGGCGTGGTGCCGCCGATGGCGGCCCCGGCAATGGCGAGCTCCGGCGCGTACGTCGGGTGCAGCTCGGCGGCCCACGCCGTGGCGTCGCTGCCGGCCGAGTACCCCCACATGGCGACGGTGGCGTCGGGCTGGATGCCGGTGACGGGCGTCGAGGCGAGCGCCGCGCGGATGCCGTCGAGCGTGGCCTGGCCGGCCAGGCGCCAGGCGAGGTACATGGCCTGCGGGCCCTCGTAGTCGGGCAGCACGACGACCCAGCCCTGCTCGAGCGCGGCCTCGATGAGCAGCATCTCGGCCTGGGTGAGCACGGTGCCGCGCGCGGAGCCCCGTTGCAGCCCGTACGACGGCGCGCAGTCGGGCGACGCCGCGTCCTCGGCGACCTGGTAGGACAGCACGCGCCGCGGGTTGGCCCCGTGCGGCACCATGACGGTGAGCACCGTCGCCGTCGCGTTGCCCAGGCTGTCCGTCGTCCGGTACTGCAGCTGGTACGACGCGGCGAGACGCACCGGGTCCACGCCAAAGACGGCGATGGCGGCCGGCGGCGACCGGTGACGCAGGATGGCTCCGGGCTGGGAGGAGCCGATGTCGGCGGGCACGGCGTAGAAGGGGTCTTGGCTGGGGACGATGGGCGCGGTCCGGGGGGAGTGCGGGAGGGCAGGGGCGGCGGCGGCCATGAGGGCGTGGAAGACCACGAGGGCGCCGGATAAGAGACTCTTGGCCAGCATGGTTGGGGACGAGGATGATGTGCAGAAACGTGCAGAAACCGGATAGATGATGTCTGCAAGAGGAATCTCTTGGACGGGAATATTTACTTCTTTATATATATTTTTCTTCTGCCGGCTGAGCAGCAAAGGCGTGGAGCGAGACTCGCCCCAAGTCGTCCGTGTAAGTCGGGCGTCTTCACATGCAGCGGCCGCGTGCATCCTGCAGCAAACACCGGGCACCGAGCCGTATTTGCCGGTTTCATTGGTCCCCGCACCACCTCTCTCCACGATCCGACATCTATAGCCGTTCATTGGAAATTGTGCATGCAGAGACTGCACATCCGGGGAGCGGGGGAGAGTGCCGAGTGTGGAAATTGGGCGGAGCCCTTGTTGTCCGATGGCGGGACCACAGCTCAGATTTGTCGTTCTTGAGAATAAAAGTCAAATTATGAGGTGAGTACGAGACTATATACTGGACCTGTGTATATGTCCATAGCACGAGCTGAAGAGACTGGTGCCTTGTTCAAGAGTGCTGTGCTACTGCTAGGGGCATCGGCCAACGGGCGCTCATGGACCTCGTGCATCGGAGCCTGATTCCAGTATTGTTCATGGCCCCGGACGCCTCATGGGGCTGGCTTATGAAACCGGCCGGGACGTAGGTATGTATCTGGGGTATGGCGCGGCTTTGCTTCTGCTATGCTGATAATATGCAATATTGCAGTTAGTACAATCCCCACCAGATACCCAATGAGACCCTAATCAACACCACATGACTACTTCAAAAAATGATGGTGAACAGCCCCCGCGGTTCCTTTGCCTGGAGAATATGGGTTCAATGGGCCTTCTTCGTAACCTCAGTTATCGAACCATCATCATCTCGGCCCGAGATGCATCATACGCACCGACTATTATTCCACGTTAGGGACAATTTCTTATAAGAACACGTGCCTCGGCGGCACAATTTTGAATGGATAGAATAATATTGAAATGGCAATTTGATATTGTAGTCTATAAATGGGAATCTAAAACTGATCCAAAAAAGCCGACCCGCTTGCTCGTATGCAACGCTCGATATAAATGCCTGTAATGGGAGTACTTAAAAATGACTAAAATAAAATAATATGGTATCGCGAATGATTGTGTATAATTTATGCTTCGAAGGGGTCTCTCTCTGCCTCTTCCTGGACTTGCTTGTCTGATAGGCGAGGGTTGCGCAGTGCCAGGGCAAAGCCAATCATCGGCACGCAGACGCAGAGACCAGCAATACAGAGGAGGCCCTGCACGTAGCTGTAGCTGCCGATAATGGCGGATCGAATTTCGGACCCAACGGGGTAGTTTTTCACAACCTCGAAAGGATTGTTGTACATGGACTCGGCCAGGGTTCGGTTGGGCTGGAAAGCCAGGCTGGATTCGAGTGCGGGGTATAGAGTTTGCGTCCAGATGGCTCCAGAGAGGCAGATTCCTAGAGCACTTCCAACATTGTAAAAAGAGAGATAGAGTCCAGTTAGAATAGCGACGTGGTCGCGGCTAGCGGAAGCCTGGATGGACGCTTGTGTAGGGTATGCGAATAGACCGCCGGCAAGACCGAGAAGAATCTGGGCGCCAATGATGCCGCTCCTGGAGCGACTGGACGCGCCTCCGGGCTGGCTGATGAGCATGACAAAGGCCATCATAAAGGCCAGGGTTCCTGCAACGATGATGTGCTTAAGACGTCGAACTCTGTAGACGACAAGACCAACGAGGACACCGCTGACAACGCCAAAGAAGGAAAAGAAGGATGTAATTCGAGTAGCGCTCTGAATGGAAAAGTCAAAGGCGACAATAAGGATGGTGTACAAGTAGTTTCCCTGGACGTACCAGGCAAAGTTGAGAAGGCTGCGAACTGCCAGAGCTGCCCAAACTCCGCGGTCGCGGAGTAGCTGGAACGGTACTATGGGCGTTTTTGCGTGGTACTTTTCCCACCAGATAAACACTGGCGCGAGGATGCATCCGACCACCAAAGGTATAATAATGCGCGGATTTTGCCAGTGAGATGCGGTACCACCAGCCACAGTCATCGGTGCCAGCACCAAGCTAAAGGAAGCGACCAGAATGAGGAGGCCGAAAACGTCGAGCTGCGTCGATACATCACGGACCCAGCGCTTGGTGTCCAGCAGCTTGTTGGAGGGGTTCCCTTTCGGGGATTCGAGCGCCAGCTCGGGTGAGGCCACACTGCGGTCCACCACGTATAACGTGACGAGCAGTGGCAGCGAGGCTATGGGATAGATGATGCACCACATGCCAATTCCCCAGCGCCAGGTCGCGACACGCAGAACGGCCGAGGTGACTGTGCCGCTGAGCCAGGTGTTGATGACAAAGGGCAGAGCAGGTATGTAGCTGAAGAAGACGCGGGCGCGCATCGAGGAAAAGTCGGCGACGAGGACCTCGAGGAGGAGGACGATGCAGGTGTAGCCAATCTGGTAGATGATGCCGCCGGCGCAAAAGACGTAGACGGACGTGGCCGTTGCTTCAATAGCCATGCCAATGATGTAGAAGAGGGTCGAGGCGACGACGACCTCGAAGCGGCCAAAGACGTCGGCGACCTTGGCGGCGGTGGGCTGGGCGGCAACGGCAACGACGCTGCGCAGGACGTTGATGGTGGCGAGGTACGAATGTAAGTTAAAGGACGATGTGGCGTAGGGCGTGTAGGTAGATCGGACCTGGCTCTCGAGGCCGTAGGCGTAACCGACGACGAAGATGCCGAAAAAGAGCCAGAAGCGTTGCGTCGAGGTGAGTTTCGCTGTGACGGCGTCCATGCGGGCGACGCCGGCGGCCCGGGAGACGGCGCCGGTGGTGGTAGTGGTTGAGGCGGGCGGCGATCCGCTGAGATGGCGGGTGGCAGGGGATGCATGGTGGTGGTGGTGCTGCAGCAGCGGCTCCGACTCGGGAAGCGCCATGATTGCAAGGAACCCTCGATCGATCGCGAAGGGGGGGTTGTTTTCGAGACTCGATCTGTACTAATAGGATGTAAAATCGAAAGAGACGAAAAGGACTAGGAAATAAGAAAGAAAAAAAGGAGATTTGTTCCAGGACGAGAAAGACAGCGCACGCGGTGCCTGAGAAATGCCTGAGAAACGCAGCTGACAAAACGGCAGGTACAGCCTGAAGCTGCGTCAGCCGCAACAAAGGCCGAAGCAGGGGGTACCCTTTCCTTTCCCCAGGTTGAGGCAGCCTATCCGGAGAGAGAGTCACGAGTGGTGGGAACCGGGACACGTCTCAAACAGGCATCTGCTCGCGACACGGGGGGGCCGGACACGTCAGAAAAAAAACTGGGAAGTTGGGTTGAAATGAGCATCGAGCAAGGCTTCGTTGGGTGTATTCTGCGGGTTCGACAAGAATATCGGTCGCTGGTGGAAAGGACGAGAGAGAGCGTGGTTTTGTTTGCTGGAGGAGATAAGATGGCAAACGGATCAGATAAGAGAGCAGCAGATGGGATGGTGTACCTACCAGTACGCAAGCCAGGCGGACGCCAGCTTTTATGCACGCACGCAGGCGCCCGACCTGACGACAACCTCTGCGTGACTTGACCATCGTCTAGTACTTTTCTAGAAAAGAACCTTTTGTACTACCGGCGAGGGATTAATGCAAGCGCTAGGCCTCTGGTGACGATGACGCTGAACCTTGGCCGCTGAGATGGACATCAGCCCGTCCCAGCTGGCCCACAGCGGCAGCGGGAAGCCCACCTGGAATCCAGGCCCCCCTTGCTCTCCTCCATCTCACTACCTGGGAAATATAGAATATAGGCCCCGTCCGCCGTAAACCGATTGTGTCCGAGACGTCTTGTGTGACAACAAACACGAAAATAAATCAATGCACCCCCGCTCTGCTTGTTACTTTTTGCTTTGATTTCCTTTCTTCCTTTCTTCCTTTCTTCTTTTCTTCATCGGCGGCTGTCTCGGGTACGCCCAACGTGGCGCGTCCCATCGCCATGCAAAACAGGGATGCCCGAGTACCCAAACCACCACGACTGCAAGATATCCGAGGTACCACAACGCCCTGGCAGTCTATACGTGGCGTCGAGGTAGTTATGCAGTGACAGGTGCTCACCTGTTCCTCGAGACCAGGACGAAATCACCTGCGCTGATCAACTGACAAGGGCCCCTCCTCGCGCCACACGACTCCCTTGCAGAGGCCCAATCGTCAATGCCACACCCGCCAAGCATGATGTTTGTGGTAAATGCGGATACGATTTGGATGGCCGAAATTGGATAACCGAAGCAATATACCAGTACCGAGTCCGTCTGTGCTCACTGGTCCCCTTTTTCTTCATCACCACCCTGGCCTCTCAATTCCGCCGCCTCTCACTAACTACTTGACTACCTATGTACATGAACGTTATTTTTATCCCACCACCGCAAACGTCCGTCCCAGACTCCTTGCGCCAGATGCACCCCGCTGCCTCACGTACCGCACCATCTCGTCCACGTTATTCAAGCGCTTCGACCTAATGGCACGGCCCGGCGATGGGCTCGACCTTTACTCCGTCATACGTAGTGCTGCAGGATGCCCTGTCGAGGCTGTGCCTGTTTTCACGGCTTCGTTGTCAGCAGGACTCGTGGCTGAGGGAGAACTAGTCGAATGGCTACCGGCGATGATCGGCTGCCTCTCACGACGTTTGACTACTCATGAATCACTACGGCTGCATGCCACACCGCGTGACTCATGTACCGTGCAAAAGTGCACATCTGCAATTCCTACTAGGCGCTGCATTTAGCAGAACTCTTTTTAAATGCCTGTCGAGTCCGCAGATGAAATGCTCAACTAATCTGCCCATGCTCGATGTACTCGCTGACCCGTGGAGCTTTGCCTCGGGTCATGCTCCGCCCAAGCCGACAGCTTCTTCCATAGATCAGTCGCGCAGTCATCCACTATTTGGCCACATAAAACTTGAGGCTCCCTGGTTTAGTTTCTGAGGAATCTATGCCTCGTAACAAAAAGTGCCGTGCACGGTAACAGGCGCTGTGCAGCGGGCTCTGCCGTGAATCGACTTAACGATGGGGCCACTTATACGGAGTGCTCTGGGGTGATCAGTCTCCGTGTCTCCTACGTCAGAAACCCCGGATCGCCGGACACGATGCTTTCACGACTGCATTTAGCGTGCAACCGGCGATTACAAATGCGCAGTTGTCATGTACGCCTTTGCATCAATCCCTTAAAAATCAGCAACATCTCATAGCTCCTGGCAATTCATAACCCAAAACTTTATCGACTCCCTTAACATTGACCCCCACCGTACACTATGGCCACTGACATCCAGCCCTACACCGTCGCCGTGCCAGACGACGCGCTGGCAAAACTCAAGTCCAAGCTCGACGCACTCGACCTTCCGCAGCACGTCGAATTCGAGGACGATGACCGCTACGGCGTCCCGGCCGCCGATGTCCGACGCCTCGCGGCCTACTGGCGCGACGGGTTTGACTGGCGGGCCCAGGAGAGGCGCATCAACCAGCTGCCGCAGTACTTGACCCCGATCGAGGTTGACGGTTTCGGCACGCTGAACATTCACTTTGTCCATCAAAAGAGCGCCCATTCGGGGAGCATCCCGCTGCTCTTTTGCCACGGCTGTGAGTGTGAGACTCATCTTTGGGGGTGCTGGAGACGCTGACAGATTGTAGGGCCGGGCAGCTTCTTGGAGGCGGAAAAGCTTCTGCCGCTGCTGAAGGAATCGGTTAACGGTGTCTCATTTCATGTTGTTGCGCCCTCGTTGCCGAATTTTGCCTTTTCTGATGGCACAACCAAGAAAGGCTTTGGGCCGCATCAGTATGCCGAGGCTCTGCATAAGCTGATGCAAAAGCTTGGTTACAGTAAATACGGTACGTAAACTCTCGCAGCCGTTTCTACACAAGGGGGCATATTAATCAATCATTACATAGTCACCCAAGGCGGAGACTGGGGATACATGATCACCCGCCGCCTCGGCGCCGAGTATCCCGAGTCGTGCGTGGCCTCGCACATCAACCTCGCCGTTCGCGGACCGCCGCAGTTCAAAGAGACGCCCCTGACCTGGCTGCAGCACGCGCTGACGCCGTGGTCCGCCGACGAGAAGAAGGGCCTCGCGCGCACCGCCTGGTTCCGCGACGAAGGGTTCGGCTACAACCAGCTGCAGAGCACCAAGCCGGCGACGCTGGGCTTCGCCTTTGCCGACTCGCCCGTGGCGGTGCTGGCGTGGATCTACGAGAAGCTGCGCGACTGGACCGACGCGTACCCGTGGACCGACGACGAGGTGCTCACGTGGGTGTCCGTGTACGTCTTTGCGCGCGCCGGCCCCGAGGCCAGCGCGCGCATCTACTACGAGAACAAGCACGCAAAGGACAGCGCCGCCGTCACGGCGGCCTACAACGGGAGGGTGCCGCTCGGCGTGTCGCAGTTTCCGCGCGACATCATGCTGGTGCCGCGGCTGTGGTATCACGGCCTCGGGCCGGTCGCGTTTGAGAAGCGGCACAAGGACGGCGGACACTTTGCGGCGTGGGAGAGGCCAAAGGAGCTGGCTGAGGATTTGCGCACCATGTTTGGGCGGAATGGCGGTGCCTATTCTGTGACCAAGGCTCTCGCCAAGCTTTGACGCGCGTAAACTTGTATAAAGAAGATTCAAAGTAAATGGATAGCCTATTACGTACCAAGTGAATTAATGTTGCATGCTACAAGACGATGCCTACATAGTACCTACTCGGCAGAGAATACAGTGGCTAAAAGCAACGCAGGCGGTATCGGCGCTAATTAAATATTTTGGACCACCCAACCCACCACCTTCAAGCACAAAGCCGACACAGCATCTTCAAACCCTCGGGCCGTGCAACGACAACTTTCCGCCCTGTCCCCGCGCTCCGAACACGCGACAATGGCCTCGCAAGCGCAAGGAGCCTCGAGCTCCGACAAGCAAAAGCCTAGCCCTCTGCGATCCATCATTGCCGGTTCCACGGCTGGCGCGATTGAAATTGGTATTTTCCACGGCTCGCCCCAATCAGAGGCCAACGGCCAACGCTGACGCAATCTAGCCATTACATATCCCGCCGAGTGTACGTGTCCATAGCATCGTCTCTTCCCGCAGCAGCTCGTTTCCGATTAGACACCCCGCACGAATTGATATATAGCTTCAGCGAGCAAACCGGCTAACACGCAACCTCCCAGTCGCCAAGACACGGACGCAGTTGAACCGCCGCCTGGCAGAGGGAAAGAAGCTGCCGTGGCCGCCCTTTGGCAAGCAGTGGTATGCGGGCTGCACGACGCTCATCATTGGCAACTCGGCCAAGGCTGGCATCCGTACGTGTGCCCGCCCACCCAGCGCGCGGTGATGCTGCCGCTAACCCCGCCTGCGTTGTAGGATTCGTCGCCTTTGACCAGTACAAGAGCCTGCTCGCCGACGAGAACGGCAAGCTGAGCGGTCCGCGCACCGTTCTCGCGGGCTTTGGCGCCGGCATCACAGAATCGCTCCTCGCCGTCACGCCGACCGAGAGCATCAAGACGACTCTGTAAGTCCGACTCCGGCGAAACAGCGCACAACCCTGCCCGCGCCCCGTGTTTTCACCCCTCTAACGCTCCTCTCCCCGCAGCATCGATGACCGCAAGTCGGCGAACCCGCGCATGCGCGGGTTCCTGCACGCCGTGCCCATCATCGCGCGCGAGCGGGGCCTCCGCGGCTTCTTCCAGGGCTTCGTGCCGACGACGCTGCGGCAGTCGGCCAACAGCGCGACGCGCTTCGGCTCCTACACCTTCTTCAAGCAAATCGCCGAGTCGTACACGGCGCCGGGCGAGAAGCTCGGCACCGCGAGCACGTTTGGCCTCGGCGGCCTGGCCGGGCTCGTCACCGTCATCGTCACGCAGCCGCTCGACACGCTCAAGACCCGCATGCAGAGCCCCGAGGCGAAGCAGGTCTACGGGAATACGCTGCGCTGCGCGGGCATGATTTTCAGGAATGAAGGCGTCCGCACGTTTTGGAGCGGCGCGGTGCCGCGTCTCGTCAGGCTGGTCATGAGTGGCGGTATTGTCTTTACCATGTATGAGAAGAGCATGGAACTCATGGACAGGATGGATCCTGAGAGGAAGTACTTGTAGGGAGCACGTGGGGGAAAAGTGAAGCGCGAAATAATCTTCGGAATTTGTCTTGTCAAGTGTATAGCCGCTCATGTCTTAGGCTGGTGTTGCAGATATAATATAGATATTATACACATATTATACAGTATTCTAACAGGTTGTGTTTTGTTTCCCGTCCCGTGCGCCGATGAATGCAAAAAAAGAAAGTGTATGTGAGGTCGTGGCGAGGTTATTGCAGACGAATCATGCCCGAGAGTCGCTTGCCCAGTCGTCCAAACCAGGAGCGGTTCGGCGCCTCCTCAATCTCGCGCACCAAGTCGTCAAAGTACGTCGGCTGGCTCTTCGGCTGCAGCATCGGTCCTCGCAGCTTGTACTATTCAATGCGTCAGCAATTTCGGGACAAGTGATGTATTCGCCACCGGTGATGCCGCGCATACCCTGTCTTTGAACTTGTCTTGGATGAGAAACTGGAGCGCCCTCGCCTTGAGAATCTCCTCTCGCTCCATGGCCGGCGTGTAGTTTTGGAAGCGCGCGTCGACCGTCTTGCCGAGCACGTCCTGGAGCTGGTAGTCGGGGCGCAGGTCCTGTTTGGGCCATTTGGCAAAGACATCCGAGTAGATGCGGCGCTGCAAAGAGAGAGAGAGAGTTAGTACAATTGGTTTCGCTTCCGTCGTAATTGGCGAGCTCGGACGTACAGCAAGTGATCGTGTTGCCATGGTTGCGGTGTGGTGTTCCTTTTTATTTTTGGCTTCTTGATGCAGCGCGATTCGTCTCAAAATAACCTCTGATGCATTGCCAATCAAACTTGCGACAGTACTGTGCTTCAAAGTCATCTTCACACTGTTGCAGTCCACCGCGCAGCAGGCGAGCAGCACAGTGCGCATCTTTTGGCCTCAGGCAGAAAGGGGACCCCTGCGGGACTTCTGGCTGCCAGCGCTCTCCTCCAGTGTTTCCAAAAGGCCGCTCCGCAATTTAGTAGGTGGCCCCTCTTGGCGCTGCTCACGAGTCAACTCTGCACAGCCTGGCCAACAATGCTAATTCGTAATCCCTCTCCCTATTCCTCGAATCTCTCAGCGATCAACCTCTGTCTGATCCAGCGTTCTCTGCGCCTGATCTCCATCGACACCCTTTTCTCTCCTTTGTCGGTCTGACCGTCTGACGCCGTGACCTCTTGTTTCCATTCCTGTGCCTTTCTTTCACGCATCCTCCAGCAGTCCGTCCGTCCGCCACCCCCAACCTTTGCCCACAAGCGTCGTCGTCACCGCCCCACGAATTGCAACACCATACATACACATACACACACGACCATCATGGCTGGCCGCTACGAACGAGTACGTCAGACATTCGATGCGATCTCGCCAGCGCCTTGTATTAACGTGCTCTATCAGGTCAACGTCCAGGACGAGGAAGACGCCCGCCCACCCCAACACAGCCTCGGCCACGCAGCTGTTCCCAACTCGCCACCACCGTCGTTTCGCTCCCGCGCCTCGTCCCGCACGCGGCGGAACCAGGTCGACTCGGACCTCGCCGACGCCTTTGACAGCGACAATGATAGCGACGACGAGACGGACGATCGACAGCGTCTAGTACGCCAGGTGGCAGCGACGCCAGCGACGACGGCTAGTGGGAGCACGTCGCCGGCACCAGTCGCACCGTACACGCCGCCGTCGGCAGCATCGGCGTCGGCGACGACAAGGGGGCGCGTTGTTGGCGGCGGCGTCGGCACCGATGGCGTGTTTGCCAACATGTCGGCGCGGCCAGAGCGAGAGGCGGCCGTTGAGAAGGAAGAGATGCCACCGGTATGTGCAATGCGCCCAACATGTCACGTATGTGGTCTGTGAATTCCAACTAACACTTTCAACTCTAGACATATGAGCAAGCCGCAGCAGACTCTGCGCCCCCGTACTGGGAAACGACGATTCTGGCCCCCGGCCTCGGCGGGCTCGACGAGGTCTACGTCGACGGCATGCCTGTCGGCTCCGTCTTTTCGTTCATTTGGAACGGCATGATTTCAACCTCATTCCAACTCGTCGGCTTCCTGCTGACGTACCTGCTGCACTCGACGCACGCAGCCAAAAACGGCTCCCGCGCCGGCCTCGGCATCACGCTCATCCAGTACGGCTTCTATATGAAAGGCACAGCGGACGGCGAGCCCCCCGCCATGGGCGGCGGTGGCCCTGACGGCTACGCCGAGCCCCAGGACCCGAACGCGCACGATTTTCAGCCTGGCGACGTCGCCGGCGGCAGCGGATCGGTAGACTTTTCGGGCGGCGCGTGGATGGCATACGCCCTGATGATTGTCGGCTGGTTCATCCTTATCAAGAGTGTGGCCGACTTTTTGCAAGCCCGTCGCCACGAGCAGCTCGTCATGCAGAGCCCGGATCGCGGGCTCGGCGTGCCTGTCATTGCCGAGGGCGAGTCGTCGGAGCGCGTGGTCTGAGATTCCAGGGAGAGCGGTAGGCATTCTTTGTATATCCGTCTTGTCCCTGACCTGTGTTTTGGGGTTTCATTTTTTTGACAAGGGCATTGGGTTGGCGTTTCATGGTTTTCTTTTTCCCTCTCGATCGCTTCGTTTCCTTTAATGTACATGTACTGTGGGGGGTTCTTTTGGTACACAAACTCGGGACAGGACGAGTCCGACACGCTTCGGCGTCAACGCGCGACTCGCGAATACATTTCATAGCATACAGAGCAATGTTTCATATCTTATACATGTCTGTCTACATCTGTGATTTCTTTCTCTCTTGAAAAAGGTCAACATGCATGATCAAGGAAGCAAGCACGTAAAAAGGATTGTATTTGGTATCATAATTAGACGGCTAAATGCTATGCTAGGCAATATGCTCAATTTCACACAATGACAATCTGGGTTTGAAAAATTAAAGTCATCCAAGGGAGAGATCTGTGCCTCGGCAAGATCGAAATATGGTCCCGTGTCTTCAACGTCAGTCACACATGGACGTGACGCGACGACATGGTAGCGGAGAGCCGCACAGCCAATCAAGGCGTACAACATTTTGCGTCTTTACCCTCAGTTGGCGTTGACAAGCGTCTTGGTGGACGATTCTCGCTTGGGAGGAGTGGCAGAGCTGGCGGGGCTCTCGTCGGGATCTGCGTGGCTCAGGAAAGATTGGATAGGAGCTGGCGGAGGAGGAGGAGCGGCGGCAGCAGCAGCAACAGGCTTATCGTCAGCGACGGGTTTGGGGGTCTCGGCAGCTGGAGTCGCAGCAGGGGTCGCATCAGCAGCGGGAGTATCAGCAGCAGGCACAGGCTGGGCAGCAGGTTGGGCAACTTCAGGGGTGGGAGCCGCAGCGGCAGGAGGGTCGGCTTTTTTAGAAGCATCAGAGCCCTTATCACTGCTCGCGTCCGACTTAGCCTGGGAGCGCTCTGGAGGCTTGCTGGCCGGGCTGTCATCCGGGTCCGCCACAGGTACAGGCGCAGGCGCAGGCGCAGCCGGAAAACCCGGCGGCGGAGCAACGACGGAGTTGATGAGCGGTCCGGGGGCCGAGGCGGCGCCGACCTTGCGCAGACCGGCCGAGTACGAGTCAGACGCGCCATTGGCGTTGTACATGTCCGGGTCGTTCATGGTGTTGTTCTTGACGGCCCTGTCGTAGAGGCGGGTGAGGCGGGCGACCTCGCCGCGGACGGTGACCTGGTCGTCGGTGTCAATGGCGCCGTAGCCGTGGGCGCCCTGGCTGATGCCGAACCACATGACGGCCGAGTTTTCAATCTCGTCGACGACGCGCGAGAGGTCGTCGCGGAACATGCGGGCGCGCATGGGCTGGCCGCGCGACTTGAGAAAGGCGACGACGCCGGCGATGACGGTGTTGAGCGCGCCAAACACGGTGATGAGCACGCGGCTGCTGTTGCTGGCGCCGAGGCCGGTCAGCGCCGCGCCCAGCACCACCTGCGAGAGCAGCAGCGTGTTGACGAGCGACGCGGTGAACATGTACGTCAGGTTCTGGCCGCGCCGCCGGCCCACGGCGCGCACGTACAGCGACTGCGGGTGCGCCCGGTACGACTCGCCGTGCGGGTGGTTGAGCGGCCGCACGCCGACCAGCTGGCAGAACTGGTCGTGGTGGTCGATCATCTCGGCGGTGATGGCGGCGGCGCCGGTGCCGGGGGGCCCCGGGCGAGGAAGGAGGAGCGGCCGCCGCTCATCCTCGTCCAGGGTCTGGAAGCTCATGTTGTTGGCGTTGGTGCTGAATGGGTGCCCGGGCGGCCGGTTCTGCGGCAGGGAGAGAGGCTTCGGAGGAGACGCTCGGCGGTGGTACCGATTCTCCGGAGCGTCTCGCTGGTCAAAGTTGGACGGGGCGGAGCTTGTTGCAGGCATGGCGGGCTTGTCCTCTGAGGGGTCGTTCTTCGGAGAACCTCCTTCTCCCTTTGGTTTCTCTTCCCTATCGGCGGCGAACAAGCAGGCGTGGGCTTGGGTGGGAAAGGAGAGTTTCCCGGTTGCCTTCCCAGCCCGCTCAGGGGAGGAGCGCCCGCTGCCATCGGGGTTCTTCCCAGGGCCAACAAGGCGTGCTCCCTCTGCTCCCTGGTCCTGATACTAGCCTCGTTGTGTGGAGGCCGCTACTGGTCATGGCCTCATGTACGTGTAAGACATTGCTGGAAATGAGCCAGGCGGTGGCGGCGGTGGGGGAGATAGCAGGGCCCATTAGATTGAATTTTCTGGGGCTCGATAGGTATTGCCTCGGAAGAGACAACCTGGTAAGCTCGATAGGCGGACGGTGAGGAGTAAAAATGCGCAAGTAGCGTCGGGTATGCAAGGTGTAGAAGATGGCAGCGATCAGATCTGATGAAGAAATTCTCATGCTCGTGTCGCCGCCCAAAGAGCTGGTGTGGAGTTGAAGAGCGCCGCATGTCCCCGCACAGACTTGGCTGTGGCACGACGAGACGAACGCTTGTCGCCACCAGCCCGGAGATGCTTCGTCCTGCATCATTTACTGGAAATACCAAGCAACGATTATATCAACTGTTACGGCGCTTCCCAAGGGAAGTGCTATGTACTCGATAGTCTACGTAACCGGCATCGCCGACTTGCCGCTCCTTATCACGACTACCCAGTAGCCAGCTGGTCAGCTTGTACCCGTTGCAGGCGTCCCGATTATTGGCTGTTAAGCATCCGAGCTATTCTGGCATTTATTTATTATAGGGTTTCCATTTCCCACGGGTCCCTTCAAGCTGGCCACCCTTGCAGCATCCAGCCAGAGGTTGCTAGCTTCGTGCGGTGGTGCTCTTCGCGCTGCGTTTTCTACTCGGCTGCCGCGACGAAACATCAAGATGGCCTGGCGATGTTCAGGGTCCACTAACAAGGAGCTGATTGAGAACATGTGGAAGCACAAGCTCATCAGCGATGTGCGTGTCAAGGAAGCGTTTATCAAGGTAACTTGCTTCCACTTATTATCATTCATGCTTTCCATTAATACTACCTACTTACAGTCATCCACGCAGGTTGATCGTCGACACTATGCGCCGTCCCAGCCATACCAAGACTCGCCTCAGTACATTGGCTACCAGGCGACCATATCCGCACCTCATATGCATGCCATCGCCCTGGAGCATCTCATCTCATTCATGATGCCGTCCGATGCTTCACCGGCGCCGCGTGCCCTCGACATCGGTTCCGGCTCCGGCTACCTCACCCATGTCATGGCGGAGCTCGTTGGCCCACGTGGGCTGGTCGTCGGCGTCGAGCACATCAACGCCCTGCGAGACAAGGGAGAGGCAAATATGCGCAAGAGTGCCGAGGGGACTCAGCTCTTAAACTCTGGCAAAGTCAAGTTTATCGCGGCCGACGGCCGAAAGGGTCTGAACGAGCCGGCGCGAAAGGGCGAGGAGGAGCTCGGCACGCTATGGGACGCTATCCATGTCGGGGCATCTGCTAGTGAGGTACACGATGAATTGATTAACCAACTGAAATCACCGGGCTGGTAAGTTATTTTGTGCCTTGATTTCTCATTACGCCTCTGACCAATTGTTCTTAGCATGTTTATCCCGGTCGAGGACTCTCATGATCGGGACTCACAGTATGTGTGGCGCATCGAAAAGGACAAGGACGGTAATATTTCACGAAAGAGGCTTTTTGGAGTCCGATATGTCCCATTAACAGATGCTCCCAAAGAGGAAATATTTTAGTGATTTTGGGAAATAATTTTACTGAAGTCAGAATGCCCTAGTGAAGTATTGTCCCGTCTTCGGCTTCTACCACACATCGTAGGTGGGACTGAGGAATAGCCGTATATAGAACTTTGATGACGAAAAAAGAAAAAAGAAAACCATTACAAAAACTAACAAATAGCTAAAGAACTAATGATACATTCAGGCTACCATATTTGTTACGTGGTTGCAGGCCATGCTTGAGGGCCATCCAGGCACCTCCCACCCAACTACTAAGGTGATCGAGTTTCGACAACCGAGGCCGTTCCGTTCGAAATGTGCAACATGTTCATTTTGAGCTGAAATAAAATGAATCACCCAGATTAAATTCTACTGGCACTGCATCAGCCACGCCAAAAGCTGGGGCTATTTACTAGGGCGACTACCCGCACCTCGCAGCAACCTAATACAGTGGATTACAGATTCTCCGAAAATTCATTGTATAACAACGACTGATTACCTCGCATGATGGCCCTTTGGCAGTTTCAACGATGAGGAGATTTTCTTCTCTTCTACGAAAACAGCCCAAGTGGTCCGTATGTAGCCGGGAGCAGGCTTGGCACGTGGCAGAACCCTACGGTAATGGTGCTTAATTAACGCTTGCCCTCCACTCTCCTCCGCCTCTTCGTCAGCCTGCCAACTTGGCTCTTACATCTCCGCCTCATTCTCCATTCTTCGACTACTCCCCGGGAGAAACAATCACTGATGGCGCACTTCCCGCCAATTGACGTGGCCGCCCTCTGCGCCGAGCCAAACAACAAGGCAGAGGCCGGATACACTCTCAAGGCACGCGAGGCGCTCAAGCAGCTCGCAAGGTACGACGGCTCCCACGACTACGCCTACTGTTGGGGCTACACCATTTTCCGCACTGTCTACACGCCTGGCTCTGACGAGCGCGTCGCGGCTGCCCTCGAGCGTCTCGCCGTTTACGCCAGACAATTTGTGACGCACGATACGCAGCTGCATCCAAGGGGCCCAGGGGGCGCAACCCCATTTGACACAGGCCCGAACGAGGCGCTCATCGGCCGCTACTACAGTGAGCTGGTGGAGGATGAGCAGAGCCTGGCGGACCTCGGCGAGAGCGAGGTCGGCGAGCGGTTTGATGCCTGGATCGCCCAGCACCGCAGTCGTCCTGGGCGCGAGCGAAACACCAGGTTCGAGTTTTGCCTGATGCTCGACGAGGAGAGCCTTGACAACATCCTGGCGCTTCCGCCGGATCCGTACGCCCCTACCAGCAATCATGATGCGGATGGCGAGGACGAGAACGAGTGCTACGTCAAAGTCATCTCGAATAGGATCAAGACGGAAGACGAGCCGGGCGCCGTCGGCCGATACTGGCTGAGAGTCGGCATCGTTGATTATCTGTGGCCCATGTTTTTCTTTCCCTGCGACTCGGATATTTTGATTGAGGAAATGGGGGTCTATGACCCGGAAGATGGCGTCCAAAATCTTTGGGGCACCCCCCAGGACTGGGACAGGGAACATATGGCTATGGCCGGCATATATTGAATGATTACGTCTATTCCATACCCTTCCGTTCTGCAGTCAGCACTACTTCACAACGCCACTGAAAATTGGCGGCAGAAACACGTTCTCGAAATAACTTTGAAAAGGACCCTCTCTTCTACTTCTAAATCATTATTTGTTCTTCGCCAACAATCTGATTTGACGCGTCTTGAGCTTCTTGCACAATGGCAACCCAGGACGCTCATTATTGAATAAGCCTCTACCAATTAGCTGTCTCATGCCGAATTCACTTTACACCTTGACAAATCTACAGCTCGTCCTTCTCATCCCACCCATAGTTTGGCCCTGTGCAGTACGCCTTACCCTTGACCAGGCTTGGCGTGCACTGTATATACTCGGTTCCGAGCGAAGGATTCGCCTTGAGGAGCAGCGCAATGTCAATCTCCGAAGTCAAGCAGATACTGACGCACGAGTCACCCTCTTTGACAACGTGCCACTTGCCGCACTTGTTCGTGGTGCCCGCGGCTACCGTCGAGTTCGCCGGCGGCGCGACGGGATCATACGTATGGCCGTTGCCCGGGTTGGGCGTAGTGTTGTCGCCGCTGCCGCCGGGCCCGCTGTGGGTGTACAGACCGTTTTGGGGCGCCGCGCACAGGATGCCACCAAAGAAGCCGACGGCGCCGGCCAGGTTGCTGCAGTCAAAGGCCACCCACGGGTTGAAGCGCCGGATGTCGCCGCGGCCCAGGCTGTGCTTCGCCTCGAGGCCTTCGCAGCCGTCGGCGGCATTGAAGGAGATGAGCTTGGCGCACGACAGCGGCAAGCAGAGCTTGGCACTGGGGGCGATGCGGCTGCAGTCAAAGATTTCTGGGTTCGCAGTGTAGAGAGCCACGGTCGAGACGTTGTTGAGAAAGGCAATGTCCTCGCACGTCTCTGCCTTGGAGCCGACAGTGTGCCACTTGTCGGACACACACATGGTGGACTGCTCGGGCCTGGGGACAATGGGGGGCGGGATGGACGTGTTGCCGCTCTTTCCGCAGTTTTGGTACACAAATTCCAGATCGGCCTTGTAGTTCTCGTCGTACACGGTGTACGGCGAGGCCTGCATCATGGCGAGGCGCTGGACGTAGCAGTCGGAGCACATCTCGGCCTTGGGCATGTCTTTGGTTGAGCCGACGGTGGTAAAATCTGCGATGACGTCTGCTTCGTGTTAGTCTGAGGCCCAAAGGGGTCGGCGCCAAGTCGCTCGGAGAAAAGGGGAGATGATATGACATACCGTTGCAATATTTCTTCGTGCTGGGATCCTTGAGGCAAGTCGCGTTGTAGCCAGCCCATATCCGACCTCCGTACAGTGTGGGAATACCGCCCGAGACGCTATATCCTTTGCAGTTGGCATCAACATTGTTAAACCAGCTGCTCAGCGACTCGCCACAGCTCTTGTCACAAACCGACTCGGTCAAGGTCGCATTGTTCAGACTGCCGTAGTAGGACGGCTCGGAGAAGAAGTTGACCCAGTAGTCGCAGTAAATCTTGGTGGTGAGAGCCGCCTTGCACGGGTCCGGCAGGTTGTGGTTGCGCAGGCCGTCGAGGGTATACACCGGGAAGCCGGGAAAGTTGCGCCGGCCCGAGGTGTCCTCGGAGCCCTCGAGCCAGGCCAGGACAGACGACAGGAAGCCGTTGACGTTGTCCTTGGCGAGCGTGGCGACGCCGCCCACGGGCGTCACCATTTCGAGAATGGCCTTTGTGCACAGGTTGTAGACCCAGAGGTCGGCGCTCTGCTGGACCTCGACGCCGCGGCGCTGGCAGTCGCCCGCGGCGACGCAGTCCTGGCTGTAGTCGCTGAACCACGAGTACAGGCCGGCGCCGAGCACGTAGACGGCCGTCGAGTCGACGATGCGCAGCGCCCAGGCGGAAAAGCAGCGCCTGTCGGCCGGGTCGCATCCGCCAAAGGTGGGGTCGTCCGGGAAGAGGCCCGGCCGGAAGGGCTGCGGCGCGGCCGGGACGGGCTGGTAGTAGGGCGACTCGGTCTGGATCATGCCCAGCAGGATGTTGCTCGCGTCCGAGACCTGGTACTGGTAGAGGGCGCAGTGCTCCGAGGACGTGCCCCAGAGCCAGGCCTTTTGGCTCTGGATCAGGATGCCGCGGCCGACGTAGATGTCGATCTGCGGCCGGTCCGGCTTGTCTAGGTCGTGGTCGGCGACCCACGCCCAGACGTTCTCGAGGTAGGCCGTGGATGAGGGCTTGAGGTGCAACAGCATGGAGCCGGCCTTGCAGCTGGGGTTGATCTTGCCGCTCTTCTTGGCGCAAGTCTCTTGCTGCAGCTTGGATCCGATGGCGCCGCCTACGCGAAAGTGTGAATCTGCGCTCGCGAATGTCAGTCAAAGGAACAAGGGGGGGGGGGGGCATTGGTTCGCAAGACGTCCTCAGCGTCCAGGTAAAGCAGAGGTACTCACCCCACATTCCCACGGAGCCCTTGCTGGACTCGCGGGCGTTCCACTCCATCAGCACCGCGCCGGCAGTCGGGCCGGAGACGGTGAACATCATGTCCTGAATCTCGATGATGCCTGGCGGGTCGGTCGGGTGGCCGACCTGGACGACGGGCCGCGGCTTGAGCTCGTCCTCAAAGTTGGCGCCGGTGCCCATGATTTGCGACCAGACCTGGCCGATGATGCGGGAGCCGATGGGTACGCGCAGCGTGTCCCTGACAATGTAGACGCCGAACGGAAAGTAGACGACGGACGACGTGTTGGCGGCGCCGGACAGGATGGCGTTGAGCACGGCCGTGTCGTCGGTCGTGCCGTCGCCCTTGGCGCCGAGCGCGCGCACATTCATGACCTTGGCCGCGGGGACGCCGTAGTACTTGGGCCGGCGGCGCGTGAAGAGGTTTGGCTTCATCTTGTTGTTCTGGACGCCGGTAAGGGCCTCGGTGCGGTTCATGGCCGGGATGGCGCGGCCGTCGACAAAGGTGCCGGCGCCGTCCTTGCTGGTGATGCGGCCAAAGCCCCAGCTGTCGACGTGGACCTCGTCGCCGCCGGCGAGCAGCGTCTTCTTGGCCACGCTGTCGGCGACGGCCGTCTGGACGCCGAAGAAGCCGACGTTTTGCAGCAGGAACGAGGTCGAGTTCTCGGCGTGCAGCGAGGTGACGATGGCGTTGGGCGTGTTGGCGATGATGGTGTCGGTGAGGAGGAGCGAGCCGACGCCCTGGCCGGTGCTGTGCGCGCCGCCGGCGCCGCCCGTGATGACGAGCCCGTTCTCGCAGCTCTCGATGATGAAGTCGTGCATGGTCCAGGCCCAGTCCCAGTGCACCTGCACGGCCGTCCTGGCCTGCACGAAGACGAGGTGGCTGGTGGTGAACTGCTGGTTGCCAAAGTAGGCGCCAAAGTTGCCGCCGACAAAGATCAGGTCGGCGAGGAAGCCGCCGGAGCCGTTCTCCATGTAGATGCCCTGCTGCGTGCTGTGCGGCACGTCCTTGTTGAACAGCATGTAGAACTCAATGTTCTCGAGCGACGAGCCCTGCGCGACTTGCCAGTGGATGGCGCAGACGTAGGCGTAGGGGTCGGTGAGGCGGATGTCGATTTTGAAGTTGCGGATGCTCCGGAGGAAGTTGGCCGTGTTGAGATACCAGCCGACGTTGTCTCCAATGTACTTGTTGGAGGTGAAGACGCCGAGGCCGACGAAGCTGGAGGCGGCCAGGATGGTGGGCACGTTGTTGGGCTGCAGTTCGAGGTCAGTACTCAAAGTCGGCTCACGTTTGTAGAAGAAGAAGAACACAATGAAGGCAGGTATAGGGCAGATGGGCACGTACATCACCGAGGAATTGCGTATTATAGTATTGGATGATGGATCCGCTGACGAGATAGGTGCCTGGCGGGAAGTAGACGACGGCCGGGGCGACGGTGCTCGTCTTGCACGTCTCTCCGCACCGGGCGCCGTCCGAGACGGCCTTGTTGATGGCCACCGTGTCGTCCGTCTTGCCATCCCCCTTGGCACCAAAATCCTTGACGTTGCGCCACACCTTGTATCCGGCCGGCGAAAACGGACTCTGGCCGGGGAACCGCTGATCGTCAATCAGCCAGTACCCGGAAGCGCGCTTCTCGGCCGCCGCGTCGCCAGCGAATACGGACAGGCGGCCCTCGGGCGCCTGCAACTCCTCGGGCGTGTTGGTGTCCCTGAGCGCGCCGGGTGTGTATTTCTGCCGGATGCACGCCGCGACGGCCTCGTGGTCGCCCTCGGGGACCTGCGGGCTCGACTCGGCGACAGCAGCCGCGGCCTCGGCCAGCTCCTGCGGGATGCGGTAGCTGCCGCTCGTGGTTGTGGTCGCGTTGCCGCTGCGCCGGACATGCGATCTGGCGGCAATGGACGCGGGGTCAGCGTTGTAGTCGAGCAGCGGCGCGGGCTTGCTGTCCTCCGCGGACGGGTCCTGCCGCGTGTTGTCGTTGAAGACGGGGCGCTCGACGCGCTCCTTGTTGACCGCGGCGAGTACCCTGAGCGCCTTTTGCACAAGTGCCGCTGCGGAGGAGGAGCCGGTGCTGTTGCTGCTGAGGCGCGCGGGACCGGTGGCGAGGGGCCCGACGGGCGTGGCGCCGCTGGACGAGAGAGCGCTGACGGCGCCTTGGAAGACGAAGATGGACAGTAGAGGCGTCAAAAGGCCGCTGCGCCCAGAGGACGAGGGCCGAAGACGCATGGTTGGGCGGGAAATGGGAAACAAAGTGCAAAAGGAGTGAGGACCGGGTGGTGGAAGCTATTCAGGCCCGGATGGGAGAGACTTGGGGGAGACGGGATGGGAAAAGAGTTCAAGATTGAGCAAGTATAAGACGGGACAAGACTTGTTCGGCCCGTGGTTGCTGGTGCCGTTGACCATGTGCCGAGGACGAGAGGCTGGCAAGCGACGACGGCAGTGATTGGAACTCTACGCCGTGTAAGCTATCCAACTACCGCGTACATAAGAACACCTGATGCAGCAAAGGCACCCTAGCCTGTTCTCTTTAGCCTCTTCCTGCATCAACGTGACTTGCTCTTCTTACTCCTGCGTCTGATGGGCCTTGGCATTCCTTGTCAGCCCTGGCCGGCACTGCAACGCTGGGGAGATTACAACGGACGCTTGGCTGCATAACGACTCTTGGAAATGCAAAAAGTTTCCGAATGTATAGTATAGATCAAGGTCAATTCCATATTAGGCCATCGCCGATAGTCCCGCTGTGGAGAGGAGGACCCTTGTCGATCCGCTCAAGGTTATTCGTAACCCTATCGGCGGCTTGAAGAAACGCCACTGAAGAGCCTTGTCATCACTCAATTCATCTATATTGCTTGGCATCGTTCATTTACCCCTTGACAACGCGGCATTATCAACTTTGAGGTTGGAACGGTCTTTAATAGACTATATTTTGCGCTTTGGGCTGCTCTCGCTCTATTAAAGCCGCCGAGAATAGGTGGTAGGACCCTTGGCACTGTTGCACGCGTCGGATCATCGGTCTCTTTTGGGATTTCGGCCGAACGACTTGTCCAATACTCGCGGCATCTCATTACGGTAGTTGATATATGCTTAAATGCCTCAGGGGGCAGATGGGGTGTCCCTGATAGAGCCCACTATACCCCGGCAGCCTGATTGAATGGCTCTGCCTCGGTCGCCTGGCAGGATGGGTGCAGATGATGCGACTAAAGGCCAAGAGCGGATAGTACTGACCTGACCTTGGTAGCAGTCATCAAATGTCCTCTTTATTCGCTAGTCCCCGTCTCCTCAAAGTGATGGGAGTGTTGCGCTCTGAATCCGCCGTCGTCCATCTTGACTCTTTTGGCATCATCGCGCGCCATGCGAGCCTTTACAACAACTCTGGGCTTCTTCAGCCTACTTACACTCTTTTTCCTACTCTTTGTAGATGTTTCCCTTGCGCAGGATCCGGAATGTAGCGCCTCCATCCCATGCAAGGCTGGCTGCTGCTCTAAGTTTGGCTTCTGCGGCTATGGCAAAGACTGTACGTATTGTCGGGCATTGGGGCATGTGATGGAGAAAATTGCTGTACTCTCTGGTCACATCCTTTACCCTACCCATTACAAGTGTTTCTGCCAATCAAACTAACCCGCGCCCAAAAGACTGCCATAAGGACGTCTGCCTGAACAACTGCGACCGTCGGTCCGAGTGCGACCCCGGTGGCTTCGGCTCCGACTTTGCTGAAAACTCCAAGTGCCCGTTGAATGTGTGCTGTTCCAAGCATGGATTCTGCGGCACGACCGACGAGTATGCTTCTCTCCCCCTCTATTCCCTCCTACAACAGCCACTTACAAGATGCCTTCCAGGTTCTGCGGCGACAAGAAAGTCAATCGGCCCAAGTGCGACAGCCACACGCTTCAACGTGTCGTCGGGTACTACGAGGGCTGGGCGGCCCGTCGTCCCTGCAACGCCTTCCTGCCGGAGCAGATCCCCGTTGGCGTCTACACGCACCTCAACTTTGCCTTTGCCACTATTGACCCTTCCACCTACGAGGTCCGCCCGGCCTCGAGCGCGGACACGAAGCTGTACCGCCGTCTGACCTCCCTCAAAGACCGCGATCCCGACCTCAAAGTGCTGATTGCGATTGGCGGCTGGACCTTTAACGACCCGGGCCCTACCGCCACCACCTTTTCCGACATTGCTCGGTCCGAGACGGCGCAAAAGGCATTTATCAAGTCGCTGGTCAGCATGATGTCTACATATGACTTTGACGGCGTCGATCTTGATTGGGAATACCCCCAGGCAAAAGACCGGAGCGGTCGCGAAGAGGACTTTGCTAATTTTCCCAAATTTATTGCCAATTTGAAGGCGGCCCTCAAGTCTAGCGGCAGGGACGAAGTCAGCCTGACGCTTCCTGCATCCATGTGTAAGTCATCAAGTTCGTGGCCCATGTCTTCTCTTAGTGACTGAGTTCGACCAGGGTACTTAAAACACTTTGACATTGTCAAACTTGAGAAAGATGTCGACTTCTTCAACATGTACGTATACCGCACACAAAATACTATGTTGTAGTTAATTCGCGGTTTCTAACCACCACACAGTATGAGCTACGACCTCCATGGAACCTGGGACAAGGGCAACCAATGGGTCGGCCCGTATCTCAACGCACACACGAACCTCACTGAGATTAAGCAGGCTATGGACCTCCTCTGGAGAAATGACATCGACCCGGACAAGGTCGTGCTTGGCACTGGTTTCTACGGCCGTGCCTTTACAGCCACCAGCCCCAACTGCCTCGCTCCAGGCTGCACGTACGAGTCTGGTGCTCCTCGCCAGCCTTGCAGCAACGAGATTAGTGTCATGATCCAGTCCGAGATTGTCGACGTCATGAAGAGAACCGGCAACAAGCCCACTTTGGACAAAGAGGCTGCAGTCAAGATTCTAACCTTTGATACCAACCAGTGGGTTGCCTATGATGACGAAGACACCTTCAAATTAAAGGCAAATTTTGCCCGCGAGCAGTGTATGAGTGGCATCATGGTCTGGGCTGTGTCGGCAGACGTGTCTGACGGCAAGTACTCCAAGGCCATTGGCTCGGCCGCCGCTCGCAAGTTCACCTCACTGCCCGGCAAGTTCTTTGAGCAGCCCGACGACGACATGATAACAACGACCACGAAGCATCCTCAGTGCAAGTGGACCAACTGCGGTGAGAGCTGTCCTTCGGGCTGGGTCCGCATGATGCGCAACGACAAGGAGGCGCGCAAGAATGAGTACCTAGTCGACGGCTCACACTGTCCCAGCGGCGTGCACGAGCTGTGCTGTCCGGCAGAGAACCCGCCAACCTGCGGCTGGTATCAGCACAACAACGGCAAATGCGACCCGACGTGTCCGCAAGGCACCGTCGAAGTCGGCTCCCTCAAGACGCACTGCAACAACGGCCGGTACCAGGCAGCGTGCTGCACCACCGGCGGGGACAGCATGAAGCTCCACGACCAGTGCAGCTGGACCCAGTACCCCATGTGCATGCTCGGATCCTGCAGCAGCGGCCAGGACGAGGTGGTGCGGTCGCCGAGCGGAAGCGGCAATGCGCCGTGCAATATCGAGATCTGGAACCACCCGTACGGGGACGGCACGATCAAGATCCAGGAGCGCAAGATGTGCTGCACCCAAGAGGACAACAAGAAGTGGGATGACTGCCAGTGGTACAACAACCTCGGTCCGGGCGGCGACGACGACAGATACTGCCGCAGCGGGTGTCCGAGCGACCGCGTCCGCGTCGCCATGGACGACACCTGGAACAAGGACGGCAACTTTGGATGCACACGCGGCGCCCGCGCCAAATGCTGCATTCCAAAGTTCCAGAGCGTCGAGAAGCGCGACACGTCGCAGAACGAGGTCCTGCGCGACGCTCTCGAGTCCTTCCTGAACAACCCCATCTGCTCCGAGAACGGCGGCGGCTGGACCTGGGGCTCCCTCGGCGCGCGCGAGGCCAACGCATCCCTCCTCCTCCATCCCTTGCCGCCCAAGCTCGAGGCGAGCTTGGCGCACCTGCGCAGACACGTCCGCGACCTGCCCGTCGACGCGACGCACTCTGGCCTGGTGGCGGCGGCGCTCCACGACACGTCGCTCGCGCAGCGGCAGAGCAGCTTCGGTAACTACGCGCAGGACGAGATCAAGAACCTGGTGTACGCACTGCTGCTGGTGCGGGCGACGGTGCGCCAGACGCAGATCTGGGACGGCCTGGTGCCGAACAAGTACCCGAACCTGCAGTGGTCCAAGGTCAAGACGTGGGTCAAGGACACCGAGGCGGTCGTCAAGTACGGCTACGACCAGCTGGCGTACCTCATCACCTGCCACATGGGCGACTTCAACGACTGGGTCGGCGGCGGCAAGAAGGACGATTGCAAGTGCGACACGAGCTACTGCTGCCCCGACGGCGGCGACTGGTGCGCGTCTGAGGAGAGCGTGCCGGACGACAGCGGCAGGAAGGTGAAGAGGGAGAACGGCACGCTCCAGGGGCGCGAGGAGGAGGAGTATGCCAGAATATTTGGTAGGGCCCCGGGTGGGAAGCGCCCATACACGATCAAGCTGCGGGACGGCACCGAGATTGAGATCGAGAGTGAGGAGGTATGTCAAGTTCTTTCCTTGCGTGTGCTTCTCGTTGAAGCCGAGACTAACTCGAATTCGTCTTGCTTGGCAGTACTACCCTGCCACAAACAGCCACTGGTATGCCAATCATCCGGTCTGGAACAATGTGTACCTGTACCCTCGGGAGCGGTGTTTCGAGGTCGAGCCTCTGATCTCGACATGGACAAAGGGTAACGGAGGTCTTCACTGTAAGTCTTTTATTCCGGGTGCCCTGTAATTACTATGCGCGCAGCAGAAATTAACTATGACAAAGACGAACACCTGATCGAGCAAAACACCCTGGCGCGCTTCTTCAGTCACTACTCCTCTGGCACGCTGCCTTCGGGGCGCGCAATGAGAACCCCGAGGTCCGACTTGCGTCTGACGGACTCGCTCCGAGCCCAGATGACGAATGCGCCCCCGGCTCTTGGTGGCGTGAACCTGGCCGAGCCAATTCGAAGGCTGTTCAATGCGCTGGGTTCACGGGCCAATACGCAGTACGCATCGTTTACTGTAGGTGGTATGAACCTCGTCAAGTCGGCTGTGAGTAATCCCTTTCCCCCGGATAGTTGGAGGATACAACCAAACCTCCGCCATAGACGATATAGCTGAGGACTAATACGGGATCATAGCTCTGGACACAAGATCAAACCTTTGGCTGGGCGAGGGAATTCATGAGTCCAGACAACTTATCGCGGAACCTGCGCGAGTTCCGAACCGGTCTCTTTACCCAAAACATTCGCAACGTGAGTCTCGAGTTTCTGCTTCCCGCCACCTCCAGCAGCCGCAAGCGCTTCTATTTCTGACACAGCCATCAGGTCATTGTCGCCATCAACTACCTGCGCGACCCGGTCATCTGGAACCGCATCCTAGCCATCAACTTTGACATTCGCGACGAACTGCGCCGCCTGCAGACGTTTCACGAGCAGCGCACCGGCAGCACCGACTACGTCGTCTCCGCCTGGGACGAGTACTTTCGCGATCACCTGCAGACGGTGATCCGCTACACGCAGGGCTTCGTGCGCGACTGGGTGACGAATGCGCGCAACGACTGGCGCGACAACAACGACGAGGACGTGATCCAGTTCCTGGCCTTGATGAGCACGCTGCTGAGACACGCCGAGGACCTTGAGCTCAACTACGATGACCTTCCAAACTAGACTTCAGGGCTTGATTCTTCTGCTGTTGCATACACTGTTTAGCCTGGCTCTATTCCTTTCAATACATAGACGAGGAACTGGGGACTTCAAGCGGTGCGCATGCGGCATAGCAAATGATGTTGTAAATAATAAATAATTTCGTGATTCGTACTATAGGTCTGTGTACCAAGTATCTAGAAAATACCGTCTAAAATGCACCGTTGCGCCGTCGTATAACAATGTGCTTTTCATCCCAGACCGAGACAAAAGGAAAACTCATAATGCAAATCGGGGGTCAGAGCCCCTCAATCAATCCCTGTTGGATGGAAAACGTAGAATTTCAAAAGAACTTCAAATAATAAATGCGCCGACTTCCAGAGGAAAGCTCGGTTCGGAGGATGTGTATCAGGCTTCTACGTCCCTTAGAAGAGAGAAAGTGCAGCAAAGACGACGGCGAGGCCAGCCGCCAGGGAGACGGAGTTGGTGACGGCGCTGCTGACGCGAACAGGGCCCGACGGCGACGCGCTGGCCGTGCTGGCAGGGGATGACGATGTCGGGCGGATGGCCACGGTGGCAGTGGACGTGGCCGTCGAGGTGACAACGGTGCCGGACGCGGTGGCGTTTTGGCTGCTGTGGACGGGGGCGGCCGGGGCGGGGCTACCGGTGGCGGCGGCGGGGGGGGGCAGCCGGTGCAGCAGAACCGTGGGCGGGAGGCGCAGCGGGAGA